TCCGCCCCCCTCCCCATCATAAGTTTCTAAGCATTAATGCCAGATGAGACTATTTAAATACTGCTGGAATACTGATGGAATTCCAAGAAGAAGCAAACAAGCACTAAATGGCACGTTTTAACACCTATGGACCTGCAAAGAAAAACTTTAACATTTGAGGGCGGACGGCCAAATGGCCCGACGGACGGACAGAAGACGAAAATCGGTATTACATAGGCTCACACTTGCTTCGCAGCTCGCCAAAAATCTTGATATTCTTGCAACTGGGGTTTTCTCAAGAATGTGAAACACATAAACATTGGCCGACCCCACAGAGCAGGGCCCATCTACGATCTACTGTCTGCTGTCCTCCTGGGTCGTGATGAGGTCGATGATGGCCATCATGATCCGGCCCTCCTTGGTGTCTTGACGCCAGCAGGTCATCCCTGGTTGGCTGATCTTCTGTTGCAGCAGCTTGTCCAGTTCAAACCGGAGTTCCTGGCAAAATCAAAAGTGGGGATATACACACAAAAGTCAGCACTTTCATCCAGTACTGTTATATCTCTAAGGCCTTTGGGGCAAATGAAAAATTGGAGGCTCCACAGTGTGTTGATATCTGAGGAGCTTCAGTTTTATAGGATGGTACACAGCTGAACATCAACCTAATAGGCAGAACTCCAGCACTCACCAGAACAATGAAATTGGTGCTGATGGTGTGGGCGGAGTAAGATCTGTGGAACAATGGTGCCTAGGAATGACACCTGCGTTGTTGTACGTCCTAGTAAAGTTCATTATAAATCGTTATATCCTCAACAGAATCAATGACTAGTCACATGTCCTAAAGCTCATGCTTCATGTAATTGGACACATTCTCACGATCCGAAAAACTCCAGACTATTCAATTATTTTGAAGCTTGAATTTTCTCTGATGCAAAAAAGAAGTTAAACAAAATCACACTGACATAAGGCACAAATAAATGTAATGAGAATAACACACTTAGCTTGTCAAAAATAAGGATAACAGAGGAAATACAGATTGGAACTAGCTTACAATGATAAGAGTAAAGAATCAAGAAATAGATCTAATGTAAACCAGTAGATCTTATGGGTGAGAACTTGGCAGGCACTACAGTGAAGAATGCTGGACTCCACAGATGGTGAAAAACAGTTTAGTTCTTTACGGTGCAAAAAATGAGCTGCACCAGGGACAAAGACCACGTCAAATAAGAATGACCGGGCTCGAGATGAAACGGGGAGGGCGTGATGACCATCACAAATACTGGACTTGACACTCCCACAAACTGGAACTGTCTCTTTCGGAACAAGATTCAGCTCTGCACTTCACTTTGTCTGGATGAACTTACAAGAGTTGCTCCACATTCGCCTTGCCACCACAGGTTGAAATGGTGCAGGAGTCAATAAGTCAACAACCTCTATCAGCCGCATATGGTAGAACTGCCCTCCAAAATCTCTCTTGGTGTGTATGTTTCTCAGTGTTGTAGTCGAGTACTTTTTTCGAGTACCAAGTACTGCTGAGTACTTTGACCGCCGAGTACAAAGACAGTTCGAGTACTTTGCCAGCCGAATACAAGTAATGGTTTCCGAGTACAAGTACTTGCACGTACGAGTACAACCAGTTTATTTGTGCCAGTGGAAGAGAGAAACATAGACCATTTGAGGTGGAACAAACTGACCTTAATGGGCCAGTTAATCCTCTTCCAGCCATTTACCAATTAAATGGCTTAACCAATCTTAAATTCTGAGGGTAATAGGAAGAGTTGCCATTGGCAATCAGGTTAGATGTTGCAATGACACCTTCGATACGAATTAGACATATACCAAATGCACCTGTTGGCTTGTGTTTTCTGAACACCTCTGTCAAGGAGTGACCCTTGTCCATCATGAGCCCATCTTTTATAGTCTACAACTCTTCTACAAATTTCTCAGTTTCTACAAAGTTCTTTTCACAACGTAAGTTTCTTAAAATAGACTTTTTAGCATTACTTAATTTAAAAAGAAAATTGTAGAACATACACTAGTACGTATACATAATATGACTTGACTTTTGAGTGACATGTATCCCAATTTTGCTGCTCTTGTCTTGTGTTCAACTACAAATGTGCAAGTTATAACACCGTTCAAAACAGCATCCTTGGACATTCACGTTTGAGGATAGGGAATCAGTGACGGCTTACCTTGACTAAATAGGCTATTCTGGCTGGGGCGAAGAATTTGATGTGATCGTCGACGGTGATCATTTCCGACCCTTCCTTTCGGGTGACACCGATCTTCCCGCCAAAGAACAGGAGAGGGTAGGGCCCCACGGCACTGGTGTCATGGAGATACACCTGTGGGGGAAGATAGACGAACAGATAAAAAAACTTTGAGTGAGAATGGCTAATGAGGGTTGTCGGAGGTGTACTCTCAACAGCGGTGATGTGTACCAGAGTGCACAAAGCAGGGCAAGGACCACAAGGGAATCACATCAAATAATATACACTTGACAAACGCAAGTGGGTAGGCATTCACCGGGTTAAGGGGACAAGTTCTTTTGTTAGGGAAATTTGAACCGTGTTGTGGGGACATTTCTGAGTCCCCACAATGTTTTCAGTCCCCACAAAATGGGTGAAATGTTGATTGTATGTCCCCACAACTACGGTGCAGGAGTTTATGTTCAGGAATCACAAGCCAATAGGTGCAAATGTAAGGTACTTGTCTAATTCCTCTCAAAGGTGTCACTGCAAGACGTGTATGGATCTAACCTGACTGCCAATGGCAAAATGTACCTAAGAGCCCTCAAAATTTAAGATTGGTGAAGCCATTTAATTGGTAAATGACTGGAAGAGGATTAGACCTAGACCAAGCTCCAGACAAGAGACTGACTGTTAAAAAGGCCTGCACAGCTACAGCTAGGTCTACTGTCTGCACATCTCCATGAAGTGAAGACACAGACCTAGTTTTAGATAGACAGATTTCACTCAGACAGCCGTGTACTAAGTTCAGCGAGTGATTTGTAACAAAGCAAGCCCACAAACATTTGCCATGTTGAAGCCACCTCATAGCAGACATTTTTCACAAATAATTCTGCAGTTAACCATACATTCATTACTATACGTCATGCAAATTTGAAATCAAATACCGAATTCTAATTCAAGCATGCATTCAGGGGTCATCCGCTGGCTGGTTACCAAGCATGCACATAAGCTCTCAAGCAGAGAATAAATAGGCATGTGCAAATCAGATACCACACGGTTATCAATCTGCTATGTCATTTCGCTCTTTACAAAGCAATTAAGGAACTGTTCCATGGGTGTAGTGTACATGTGCCAACATCACCCTGGCTACAATTACGCACACTTGAAAACTGGGACAAGTAACTGTCGGTCAGCATTTTGCTTTGCTAATTGATGCTTTTTATTTCACAGAGGCTAACTGGACATGTGTGAGCTAATGTGAATATATTTATAACTTATACAAATATAACATTTCAGTTGAATAGTGTTACCTCCCCTCCCCAGAGAACACATATCCACCATTCATTCCCTAACCATGTAAACCTCAAACCATGTTATATTTATTTACTGTTGACAAGCATTACCAAAAACAAACACTTTAAGTCCTTATAAATGTACTTATCATTGTATCACTCAAGTATTTCAACTACAAATATGTGGAAGAAATTTAATGCCGAGTCCTACTCATTCTCATGCCAAAATAAACACTGCTTCACCGGTGCTAGGGTGTGTCCCTGTTTTCCATAGTGCAACTTAACATGGATGTCTCACTGGTACCCTGTTGATGGTACCCTGCATCAGGACTATACTCACGTTGGTGGATTTCAGCTTGAGATGGTAGAGGATCCAGTTGGTGGGGAAGTCAGCCTCCTTGAAGTTGACCGACTTGGGATGGATCTTGACCTGCCCATCCTGGCGAGTCATAATCTTAGCTGGCCTGCACAGGACAGACATAGAAACTCAAGTCTCCTGATATGCAAGCCGTAATTACAATAACTGCAGGATTCTATTATAAAATTTTCAAATCATTTTTTGCAGTAATCAAATCTTCACATGCGAATTCTCCATGAGAAACATTCAAATGCCCTTTAAAATTATTAAAACTGGACATGATGAAATGGCCTAAATTGAAACACGCCAAAAATATCTTAATCTTGAAATACATTAAACTATAAATGAAAATTAAAAGACACGATGAGTAAACATTGGAAAACACAAGTGATGTAACCAAGCCTTGGCCTTAAGGCTTGGTTTAAGGGCCTAAGCCTTGGCCTTAAGGCTTGGTTTAAGGGCCTAAGCCTTGGCCTTAAGGCTTGGTTTAAGGGCCTAAGCCTTGGCCTTAAGGCTTGGTTTAAGGGCCTTGGCCTTAGCCTTAAGGGCAAAAGCCTCGGTATTAGCCTTGAGTGATCAATGTCTTGTGATTTAGAGCCTTGCTCTTCAAGGCCCTCTGAGTTTTAAATTTCCAGGTAAAATTGTTTGAAATTTTGCTGTTCTGCAAACATACATGTACAACCTAGGGCCAACTTGGAGCTGTCTGCAAAGTTTGCAGTAAAAGATAATCATGTTTTGCCATGGAGAAGGGAAACACCTGAAATTTGTTCACTTGCACATTTACAGTATGAAGGTTCGATAGAACATTTTGCTGCTCCCTTCAAATAAAGCTGAAGTCATTTTACATACATATGTATTAGAACTGTGCTTCTGGCCACAACATCAGAAAAGTTTATTTCCAACTTCCATAAAATTATATGGAATACTATAGATAGAACATCTGTGTTGAAGCCTGGCGATTGTCCTCTAAGTATACTGCCCACGCAGGAAATGATATTTTGCTGATTACAATGTAGGTAAAATTATGGGTTTTTTCCATCATCTTGAGCACGCCATACACAGAATTCATTTTACTTGTCACCATAGAGTTGTTTACCCCATCTCTGTAATAATAATTTGTTCTATACAGCATGTCCCAAAACAATTTCAGGTGTCAATGGTATCAATTTAAACTGTGCTCTCTCTTTACACTGAAAATTTCATTTGAAAGCCCATACTGTGATGCAGAGATACTTTCAATAGACCTACAACATAATGATGTAAGCAGTGTTTACCGCGGTGCACTGTGGGTAAAACTTCCACTGGACCGCAAAAGACAACAGATTTCCGTGAGAAATAAGTCCATCGAAGCGAAGTCCAAGTGGACCTCTGTATGCAGTCTACATTTTGTAGGCGGAGACAAAACTTGCGCGTACAATGTACCGGATCCAATGATTTTCCCATGGACAAGTGAGTGGGAGGAGGTTGTTTCCCGGCAAAATGAACAATGAAGAAGCTGCCTTTCTCTTCGGACATGATTTGGGAACTTCATACATGAAACTTTTTCTCATGATTCTGCTGGTACAACAGAGATTGGCAGTGGTTTTAGATTGGCAGTGGTTCTAGGTTTGTAGTAGCATGAAAGCTTCTTCGTTGTTCATTTTGCCGGAAAACAACCTCCTCCCACTCACTTGTCCACGGGAAAATCATTGGATCCGGTACATCGTAAGTTTTGTCTCTGCCTACAAAATGTAGACTGCATATAGAGGTCCACTTGGACTTCGCTTTGATGGCCTTATTTCTCATGGATTTCATCCATATCTGTCGCCTTTTGCGGTCTCGAGGAAGTTAAAAAACGCAGCTCTGGCGTTCGTTGAGTGCTTGATAAACATAATGGAACATAGCAGCTCACATGGACCATTTTGGACGATAATCAGCATTTTTTTGTCTTTTTTCTTTTTTTCGTGTCAGGTCGATTCACACGCCATACAGTATACGTTACACATAACGTGTCACATCAACACATTCCTGCAACATCCCCACCTTTCACCCACGATGCACCGCGGTAAACACTGCATTACGTCATAATATTGTAGGTCTATTACGTCAAGAACTCTTCGCTAAGAACTCTATTCAGCTCAGTATTCTCATTCTGTAGGTCATATTTTCAATAATCTTGTAGATATGTTTGTGTTAAATGGAGTAAACTAAGCTGCGTGATTGCTGCATGTCTTATTAAAGTAGTTGTCTTCGGATCTCCTCATTCCATCATCACATTTAAATAAAGTCTTCAGTTTTGATGAGACAATTAACAGTTTAAGTTTCTACTCGATTCTAAAACAACAATTTCCCCAGTAATCATTTTGGGAGAAATTAAATGTCACTTTGTGCTGTGTTTCTTTGGGGTAAGTTGTAGTAGTAATATTGTGGTGCATTTAAGGGCCTTGGCCTTAATATAGCCTTGAGGGTTAAGCCTTGGCTTTAGCCTTAAGGTTTGAGGGTGTGAGCCTTGGCCTTTGCCGTCAGGGTCAGAGCCTTGGCCTTGAAGATCAAAGCCTTTGATCCAACACTGCACAACATTCACTCTTTTGCAATTTGAAGATAGGAGGATAAAAGAAGGTAGTGCAAAGAACTCTGTACAAGAAACAGAAAATGAGACAAAAACGGAAACAAGTGGATTCAAACAAACTCCCTATTTTTCTTGTATTTTACCTGTATTTTCCTTCTTTCATGTTGAATGAGCCCTTCGTTACACGGGCCACATTTGGATAGAGACCTGAACAAAGTATAGCCTTGACCAGCTGCTTGTTGTCTGTATGAGAAAAAAGAAGTAAAAACTGCCATCAAGGAGCTGACTATAAAACAAGATAATAGTCTAATTTCTCAGAGGCATCTTGAAATGTGAACTTGGGAAACTGTATAATCTTCTGTTCACAAACATACAATTTTTCAACATTTTAATTCAGTGCCTCTTCTTGGTTTAGTTTGTGGTCTTGTTCTCAACAGAAACACCATATATATCCGTTTTACTTTTCCTCCACCACATTCAAATTGCTGAAAAAGTTGTGCAGGTTTCAAAGCAAATTACCAGTGAGTGCACAAAGTCTGAATATGACGGTAGACTGAACACACACACACAACCTGAGGGAGTCGACTCCTACACTGAGAAAAATCTCATAAATATCTCACCTGAGTTCTTGTTGGCTTCCTCCTGTTTGCAGGATTTCCCAGCTACGAAGCCTATGGATGCCAGCAGCTCACAGAACTGGGTCTTCATGTTGCCCAGCATCTAGTCCAAGATTGGGGAGAAAATAGAGAAAGAATATCTTTATTAAATCTGGAAAACTTCCTTCCATCATGAAATTTCCCGGCTGTCCTAAGGCAGTAAGGTTTGTCAAATTCTAAGTCCATGTGCACTGCTGGTGGAAGATGTAAATCTGAAGGGTCAGCCATTTGACAAACTATTTCATTAGATTTCTTGCACACCTGTGTCACGTTTTGTCCAAGACCTCATACTCCTAACCCGGCCAACACTTGAGCCTGATTTTTAGCTACTTGGATTTTATATTTCTACACTCTCAGAGACTTGAAATACTCAGAATTCAACTTGGAAACCGCCCCTAATACCTTGAGGGTGGTAATAGACATGAAGTTACTCCAGCAGTAATCGCTCTCAGCATGTCGTCCACTGTTTCGGGCCTCTTCCCAGCCTGCCACAGCATTGACCAGCATGAGGTGGTCGCTGAACGTGTCCCCTGAGAGCTGCTTGCGCTGGGCATTCACCGTCTCCTCCTTGCCCTGCAACAAATTATCGAAATCTCACTTCAGAACCCACCACCTAAAAGTAACCGAGCTCATTTCTTTCTCCATCTTTAGCCCATCTACTAAAAAGGAAGAGAGACAATTCAGCAGCTTTTCAAATCTTTTTTCTATTCCAAACAAATTACAGTCAGTTGAAATCAAAACCTCATTTAGCAGGATTTTGGAAGAGTCACCACTGAACCCTAGGGCTGTGATGAGTATACAAAAACTTGACCCAAATTTATTGGTTGACCAGAAAGTATTGGATATGCACAGGAAGTCTCACTGCGTCGATTTCATTCAAGTACATGTATCTGAGAACAATTAAGTCAAAAGCTATTGAGACAGAGGGTCACCAACTAAGCTCAGGCTGAATGTATCAAAGTAAAGGTACTTTGTAATCACACTGGAACGATGGAAAGCACCACATGAGCATTACTCTAACTGTCAAATTATTAACTATTCACACATGAATATAAGGCAAAATTTTGATCTTGGAGGATTCAGGAACATTCCAAGCCAAACTTGGAGTCTGAATGGAAGGGATGCTGTGATGTGCAAATTGGAGAGCAGAAAGATCTCACCAGCGGAATGACAAAGGGATCCTTGAAGCTAAGGCTGGCGGCAATGGTCAGGATGGGGTCCAGGCAGCAGAACATGGCACCAAAGAGAATCATGCGGCCGATGGCCGGGGAGACAGGGAGCCAGGCAAGGTGGTAACCCAGCGGGGTGAGTTCCTCGTTCTCATTTAGTGCATTCTGGGTGAAAAAAAGAGAAAAACAGTGAGAACCATATGACATTAATTGAGTACATTAAATGAGTCATGGTAAAGACGCATCACAAAACCTAACAAGGACTACAGGGGTGCGACCGGACCATAACGAAAAATCCACAAACTTCAGTCGGTATTATCTGTACATGTATACATGTACATGTATATGTATAGTGTACCGGCACAGTGATACGTACATGTACATGTAGGCCTACTTGTGCGTAAACATGGTAAATGGCATCATTTGGCAATGTAGGTTTTAACAATAATAATAATAATAATTGACATTTATAAAGCGTCCAATCCATCAAGCTGCTCCCAGGCGCTGTACATCAATATAAGTATAAATAAACAAATACATAACTAAATGAATGAATAAATAAATAAGAAATAAATAAAACCTACATGTACCTCAGTTAAAATAAATACTAGGAAACTAAAAATGCTTGTTTAAAAAGATGCGTCTTCAGCCCGGTCTTAAAACTCTCCACATTCCTAGACTCTCTAAGTTGAACTTCAAGCTGGTTCCAGAGATGGCGACCAGCAACAGAAAACATCCTCTCACCAGCAGAAGACAGCCTAGTTTTTGGCAGAGTAAGCCTAGAGGTAAATTGTCCGCATCTCTGGTACACCACGTGCACCACACGTACACTCTTGTAATAACTTTCCTTTACAATATTAAAGTGCACCACAACTACACGTACCACACACAACCCTCAGTTCATTTGTTCAAGGAGGCGATTACATTATCAAGGTACACTGACATCAAAAGTGAGTAATCAGAAAACACTGGATGAAGTTATAGTGAGACTGACCATCTGTGTGAGGCTTTCCAATGCCAGGTCCACTGCCCTGGGGTCAGGCTGCTGTAGGGCCTTCTCGATGAAGCCGTGGATGCTGCCGAGCTTCAGTGACTGTACAAAAAATAACAAAACAGCCCATGATGTCAGTGTATGATCACGTTACTTGCAAATTACTGTGGTCTTTTCGCAGACCCAAATAAATACAGTAATCATGGTGTGCCGAGGTCCAATCTCAAATAGTGCCCTCTACCGGAATCAAAACATTCCTGGTGCTTTATTGTCAAATAAATAGATTCATTAAAGGACACTGGATTCAGGGGATCTGTCTTATTTGTGATTGAAGTGTTTGTACTTGGACTATCGATGCTCTCTTTCATTCGTCTTTGACTTTCGATTTGGTTTTCACTGGAATATTTAGGATTCAGAATGCCTTATATGCCTAGAAAACATTGCTGTATCTGCAGATCAGGAGTTAGTGGCAGGTTTTATCCATTAGGTACTTTCAAGGGAATATCAAATCTTGTTTTCTGCTTCAAGATGAGCGCAAAGGTTTTTGTGTGCAAAACCTGTATCAGCAAATTTAGAGCAACCAACCACAAACTTTTGCACATCATGAAGATTGTAAATGTCATTTTGGTGCAGTTGACAATTAAGTACCAGACAAAATCTCGGCAGAGAATCAAATGCGCCACTGGAAAAAAGCACAAAGGAATTGCATGCGGGAGAACCACCTGTGAGTTGGAAGAATTGAAAAGCAAAACAAAGATGCTTGAAGCAGAAAACAGAACGCTAAGGAATTGAGAAAAGTGTTAAAAAGCATCTAGGAATTGATGGGGCTTGTGAGGCAACTGAACTACAGGCTATTGCACTTAGGCATATTGTAGCTAGTTCAGGGACTGGAAATAAAAATATCGTAAAGGTTCCAGCCAAATAAATTAGAACGCATGTTTGTGAATGTGCGAACCTGAAAAGCAGAACCTGTTCAGACAACATGTCATGTACAGCTCACCTCACTTTAATAAGAGATTACAAAATGTAATCGTACAGCAGGAGTTGAGCATTTAGGTTTCGGAGGCTAGGGATATTTTTAAATACCAGTACATGTATCGAGGCTTAACTTTTACCCTTTATGAACATACCTGGATTACAGTAGGTCACATACTGTCAGTTAATCCATAGAGCTATGGTTAACCAAATCACTAGATTAGGATTGTGACAAGTCTTGGGATCAGTTGTTGCTGTACGTGCACCCAAGGAAGTGATCTATACTGGTTCCTTTCCAATCAAAACCATTTTGAATGGGTTAATTTTGTAAATGTAGTTGGGCTGAAGTTACCAGGTGTTTGTTGTTGTAGGACAAGTTCTCCAAAATAGAAACTTTTTTATAAGCATTTGAAAGAATTCCATGCACAAAGTGTACTTGATGCCCTGTGCACAAACCTATGAGACTGGTCTGAAAAATTCTGTGTTCTCTGAATAAATGTTTGAGGATTTTCATTCTTAAATTTCACTTTGAAAAACACTTTATCACATCCTAATTGCTATTAAAACATTTTTAGGGAAAATTAGTGCACTTTGTATATGGTATTCTCTGTAGATTAGATGTAATCTCTAATGTAGGTTTAGAGAAGTTTAACAAAAGTTAGCTTTTACCCTTTTTTAGTATTCCTTTGTAAACATCCCCTAATTAAAAAAAAGAAAAAAAAATCCCAAACATACCCCCCAAGGAAATGGTTACAGACAGAACTTGTTTTAGTTCTGGAATATTATTAAGCTAGTAGGTGACCGGAGTCAATTAAATTAAATTTGTGTCACAATATCACATGAATGTATGGTGATTTGGAAAACTTTGAACACAGGTTGACGGACCTTCAAATCACATGCTGCATTCAGAAATGGCATGGTCATGATGTGAGGGATGTTTCACTCAGAGATCACTTGTGTCCGAGTCCACATCAAAGCAATGCAGCATTACTAACATGCAAGCTTATCACAGTATGCACACTTTCAAGTTGTGGCACTGAAACCAATGGTAAAACTTCTCTTTCTCAAGTTTCAATAGTGTAGGGTGGAGGGTTGGGCATACGTACACTGCAGCTATGGACGGCCAGTGCATGACCAATAAACAGCTTGAATTTCATCTTTCCACTGAGGTTCACTTCCATGATAGAATGCCTTTCTTTTTAAAACAAGTAGGCTTTGCAGTGCCTTCTACAGTGCAAATGTAATGTTCAACCCCCGAATGTCCTGCTAACAATGAAAGAAATCAAAGCAGATTTTGCAAAGTTTCGAGCATGGTAAAGCCTCCAGCATGACACAGCCGCCATTTTTAAATATCCCAACCTGCTAGGATCACTCAATCACGTACAAAAGTCGCACCATAACACTGAAAAAACTTAAATGCAAAATATTGGCCGGTTCCAAATAAACTTCATTTTACAACCAGAAGAGAGCTTAAACATTCAAAATAACCCCATAGGTTTAAACGAAGTGAGTATCCAAGCAATTTGGCTAAACTGGTGAAGTTTGTTCAGCTGTAGCTGACCACCAGCAAAATTACAGATTATAGCAAAATTACAGGTTCAGAGATACATGAGATGGCCGGCCTTCAAGGAGTGGTATTATCTTATGATCAGTGGATGATCTTCAGTCGGACCAACTGACCTTGGGGTTGTTGGCAAGACTGCCGCCCTCAACAAAACATAAAATATTCTGCCAAAACATGTTTATTCAGTTGAAATCAGAAAATATAAATATACAGCATAAATATCTATGATATCATCTTTGAGTCAAAGGATCGTCAGTAGAGGCATCATTTTTCACTTTTTTGTCATAGTGGCCACCCTTGCCACCTTTTTTTCTTGACCAGTACAGAAGGGTTGAAAGGTTATCTCAAAGTACAGGAAAATTGAGTATCCACCTATTTTGGGCTTTCGATAAAGAAAGAGAAGATTTCAAATTTTTTTCTGATTTCATTTTTGAAACCAAAATTCAATTGCCGCAATCTTTTTTATTAAGAAGCCAATTTTACTCATTTTTTCATAACATTAAAACAATATCATACATAATCAACACACAAATTCCCCCCCAAAATTTGGGCGGCTGCTGGGAGGAGACATTCATTCATAAATGAATCTCTTTTTGTAGGGCGCCCTCGTTGATTTTCATTGGATTTGTACATGTGCTATGGTGCGTGGTGTATTGATGCCGTCACACGTTGCTTATGTCCGTACTTTCCTGTGGTGCTCGGTGTATTGGCTCCATGGGAAGGAGCACCTGTGAGCAAAATGTGATGAAGTCATCAGAACAGAGGCCAATATCGCCATGTTTGCCCACCTTGATTTGCAGGCAGAGTTCGTCCAGTGGCGTCCGCAGCATCTCTGGCAGCTGGTAGTCTGCCAGCATGGCTGCCTTCAGCTGGCTATATAGATGATAGCATTCGCCAGGTTGCACTCTGGAGATTTTGATCAGAAGATCAGATCAGAGAAGTATTGTCATGTTACCCTTGCTCTTCACGCTTTTCTCAATACTTCCTGGTGACAAAGACTCAAGGCTTCATTTTAGAGTTTTTTGCTCCCAAAATAAAAAGACAATTTAATGACCTATGTGACAGATGTTATCTATCTACTCATTTGAGCATTCTAACCATTCAGTTCCCATTCTGAGGGGACAAGATAATAATTTGTTTACAGACAGAAACTTGCAGAGGTGGACCCTGCAAGACTGACTTGTTTTCTGGTGATCAGATCAAAATACATGTATGTGCATATCCTATCCACAATTGTCTACCTCATCTTCTTTTTGGCCATTTTCATGCTTATAAGTGGAGCTGCAGCAAAAAGTTTCACATATATGAATAGATAATCAATACATTTGCATATATGAATAGAAAATTACATTTGCATACCTGCCAGCCCTCCCCCTTCTCTGGCTGGCCGATGCTGCACTGATCCACTCCGGCTTCAAGGTGCTGAGGTTGTTTTCCACGTCAAAGTTCCGCTCCTTGATGCGGCCCAGGTTGATGACGTACACCACGTCATCAATGGTGATGCTCGTCTCGGCTATGTTGGTAGCTATGACAATCTTGCGGACACCTGGCGGGGGCTGCTCAAATACCTGCACCGAGTTTTAATACATCTCACTGAATTTGCCCAAGAAACCTGGCTTTTTATACAAATTTTACCACAGAGCATTGCGCTATTCCACAGGCATTTAAATAAACCCTGACTTGTGTTGAAACCTCTTATATCCTGCACCTGGCAACTATTAATTCTCTTATTTAATAGCACTTATGTTACAATTTTCTCGGGATTTTTATAAACATGTTTCTTTCTTTTTCTTTTTCACTCTTAACAAAGTCCAAAACATATAACTTCTGACATGTGATGAGAATTGGTGCAAATTCACTCTGGACCGGAAGTTTAAGAAAGATAATAAAACCAAAACTGAACACCAACATTAGACAGGCCCATCTAGTCAGTGTTTGAAAAGCTAAAATGCTGTGCGTCCAACTTAATATCAGACCTGTCTTTGGTTGATTGTGGGTATCATGGAGTGCAGGGGAATGATGCGGAAGTTGTCGTTCTGGAACATCTGTTGCTGGGTCAGGAGGTCATTCACTTTGGAGATCTGCTCCCAGCCTGGGAGGAAAACCAGAAGAGCGCCCTCCTAAGATATGGGGTGAAAAATTGAAGAGTTCAGATGCAAATGCAAATGATACTTCACATCGTGAAAACCCATCTGATTAATCGTTTTTATTAATCAATCGAAATTCTTTCAAACTAGAATACCCAAAATATCTCAAGGTGTGAACCTAATATCATGGCATTGCTGAACAGTTTGCAGAAAAGATGCATTCACTGAACTAGAAAACTGTGCTGCTGCTTAACTTTTTACACACTCTTAAGGCATGGAGTTCATTGGATTTGATAGGTTTGAACTGGACTGGATTGGGATGAGTAGGGTGGAGTTAGATTTGGCTGGGTGTGATTGGGTAGGGCTGGGCTGGGTTTGATTGGGCTGGGCTGGGATTGGCTGATTATAGCCTGCGATGGTCTTGGCTTGGTTTGGCTGGGTTGAGGTGGCTGGATTGGGCTGGGCTTGGCTGGGGCTGAGTAGAGCTTGGCTTGGCTGGGTTGGGCTGATTATGGGCTGGGTTTGGCTGATTTGGTGGTTGGGTTTGGATTGGCTGGGTTGGCTGATTATGGCCTACGATGGTCTTGACTTGGTTTGGCTAGGTTGAAGTGGCTGGATTGGGCTGGGCTAGGCTGGGGCCAAGTTGATGAGCTGGGCTGGGCTGGGTTGGGCTGGACTTGTATTGGCTGGGGTGATTTGGCTGGATTAGGCTGGGTTGAGACCATAGGCTATCAGGGTGGACATACAGAGGGAATGTTATTGTCGGTAATAATTAATAAACAAATACAAGTACTGGCCACCCATACAACAAGATCCAAGGAATATTGTTAAATGCTCATAAACTGACCGGTTTGTTAAGGCAGATGTAACGAATGACAGAAGAAACCATCTCCAGATCCATGTTCTCATGGTCCATGTTCTTGAGATGATACACCACCTCTTCAGGATATCTACCAGAATACAGCAAAACAACCTCAACAGTCAGGAAGAAAATATACAGGAGACCAATAACAAGAGACCAGATCTAGGTGATGGTGGAAAAACCTTGTACTTAGAATACTCCGACCCAATGGTACACTAGTCTAATTTGTGTGCTTAGCTCTTCCATTCAAAAACGTGCTCTGATTATTCTTCAAAAGGTTTAACCTCACGGCTGACAGTAATCCCACCACAATCTGCTTGGCACTGCTCAATTTGGAACTGACCTGTAAGATTCTTAAAACTCTCATGATTCTAAACAAGTCAAATTCAGGTTCAGCCTGTCAGGTTCACCGAAAACAGAGAATTTTGGAGAGTTGATCTACGTGCACATGGACTCCTGCTCAGTTATAGGGACACTAACCTGTTTCCCACAATGCATTATGAAAACTGGCCCATGGCAGACGGTAAAGTGTACCACAATAGCAATATCAGTTTATATAACGACTTGTTATGTTTCTTATCGTCAGCGTCAGGGCCTTGCTCTCTCTCCTTGCTGTTCAATAAATATTCATGTTTCCTCCTCCTCTAATAATTCAACAAATATGAACTTGGTTGTTCATGCAATGCTAATGCAATATTCACTGCAATCGCTTGCAGGATTACCACAGAAAACCAAAACGGATAACAATGGGATCTTAGGTTTTGCCGATTTACGCATGCATATATAGATGAAAAGTGCATACTATGCTTGTCTTGTGTATTGGGGGAGTACACCATCAATGAAAATGGCACTCTTTTGTACATCCACAACACCAAATGTATGCTTTGCATATTGTTTGGGTGTGCCCCTGTGGGATTGTTGGTTTGAGCAACCATCTGTGCGGATTACTTTTGTCGCATTTTGGCAATGTAACCGCTGAACCTCTCCTTGAATTCTTCCTCTTTCTTCAGCTCCTCCCGGAAGCGCTTTCCGAATCCAAACTTCAGCCAGATTGGCTCGTGTTTCCTGTGCTGCTCTGGAGGAGTGTATCTGTTCCAAGAATGAACAACGATAAGTTTTTCAAAAAGAGATAGAAATAGGAAGTCTGTCATATAGAAGGAGAAGGTGTTTGACAAAATGCAACTGGTTTCTGAAGACAAGATCTTGATGTTTTGCGTGGATAGATTAAAAATATTACAAAAAAACTATGGGTTGGTAAGCTGATCTTGATAAAAGTTCACATAGTGTCACTTCTTCTCAATGTCTTTCATATTGATCTGACAGTATACAACTTGCTTTTCATGTTCACATTTGCACCAAGTATGAACCGTCCACCAAAACTAATACATGTCTGTATCCTGGAATGTTAAAACAGCCCAACTCTTAGTGTAAAAATGTTTTGATGTCTCCATTTATTTTAGGTACACAGATGAGGTCACTCGTGTACCACGCTGACAGATTTCAGAGTCTGTGATTGCCTTACTTGGTCATCTGAAGAACGTCCTCCAGCCAGTACTCCTCCACGGGGAAGGTGAAACCAGGAATGTTGGCCATCGGGCAACCGTCAAAGTAGGTCGAAAATAGTTCAGCATTGAGGGTCGCACTCATCAAGATTAACTTGAGTGTCGGTCTGAAAACGAGAAAACAAGCTTAGCTGGGTGGCTACACTCACCAGGCCGACTAGGGTTCCTGAACCCAGAAATTGCTGCATGCTTGAAGTCACGTTGCTGCAAGTCACATGAAGTGGCTTGATCCTCAATAAAAAAATCACTTGCACCCACTTTATCAACTTGACTCAATTCAGATCTTGAGACAGGCAAACCTTGAAATAGTCTACATTCTGTTTTCCCTTCCATCCATTGTCACAACAGAAATCACTGCTGCATCAAACTTGTAGCAATTAACTGGCCAACACTGGCGAGCTTGGGGCTGTGCACCTGTGGTAAAGTGCCATAGATCCGTGCTAGTATCAAACAGGAGGTCTTCTCTTTTTTTTGTTTCTACAATCTCTTCCTCAACCATCCTCTCTGTACCTTTTGGGAAGAATATCCTTGAGAATGACCAGCAGGAAGTCAGAGATGATGTCTCTCTCATGAACCTCGTCCAGAACAACGTGGCTTACGCTTTGCAGAAGTCTGTCCCAAACAGATTTTTAAAATTAACATTCTATTTCACATGAGCAAAATAAAGATACTTCATTGTCAAAAAACTAGAGAAACGGAAGACTACAGCTTCACATTCTACAAGTACACCTTGCAGCGGCACAGTGGCGTAGCTAGGATTTTACTAGGGAGGCACCAGCATCTTATCGGGGGTGCAGCTTCCAGTGGCATGGTTCTTGGGGGAAAGCTTTTGTTAGCTCCTTTAGTTCAATATCCATTCATCTATTTTTAGTGGGGGGGGCCACCTGGAGGGGCAACCAGGAATATGTTGGGGCATGCCTCCCCATATGGCTATATATGCCCCTACTGCTGTGAGGCAAAACACAAGATTTCATTTCATAAACAAAGAACAGCCACTGCAAAAAGGATATAAGCTTTCACAATTTTTCCAATCAAGTAACTTACTGGTCTGATTCCAGCCACTTCAGCAAGATACCATTGGTGCAGTAGAGGATGCAGCCCTGTTGCCGTGGGAATTGTGCCTCCAATCTAATCTGGTACCCCGTGCTGTTGCCACTGCCACACGCCTCGCCTCTCTCACATGCCACCCTCTCAGCCACCTAACAAACCAAAAGAAATCAGAACTTGAAAATATGTTTTTGGTTCCTTTTGTGGACTCGGTTGGAGATGCAAACAGCTTTTTTCTAACAACCTTACCGTCTAGAAGCTAATACTCTTCCTCCCTGGGGTGATACTACTTCAATTTTTTTCCATTTGTGGGTCGATGGTAATTCATTCAACAGAGATTTCAAGGAGTATGTAATAAAGGAGAAGATGACATAATTTAAAGCCATAAACTTAAGTAGCAAGAACTTTCTAAAACCTTTTCATGATAAGATTCTGTGGCCCAAGCTGCTGATCATGAAACTTCTCAGGGAGCGAATGCACACTTTTCAACGAGTATTAAAAATCACAATACGCATTATACAAACTATAACCAGCAAAAGACCCTTTGACGAAACACTTGTTGAACAATTTTAATGTTATTTGAAGTTATCTCGCAAGTCACACTCTTGAAACTGCACGGAGCATGCCTAAGCATTTCACTGACCGATATGGCTGAGATTCTACGGGGCTGAGTACAGATGACGCGGCAGGTCGACCCCTGACCTTGCTGGATATGGTGGTCTAGGATAAACTGGGGCACCTGGGTGGTCTTGCCGCAGCCTGTCTCTCCGCTGATGACCACCACCTGGTTCTCGCTGATCAAACGCAGAAGCTCCTTGATGAAAAATGACACACAGTCCGGGGAAGAATGCAACTTTGAACAAGAGGTATCATGGGGTTTACCTTGAGGTTTTGCGACCTGTGAACAGGGTGTTGCGATATTACCTTGGGGTAAAACATACCCCCTGGTTTAATTTTGTGTTCTTCCTGTAGACAGAACCCAGATTCAAAAAAAGAATTTCCATGGAGGTAATTTTCTCTGAGGGATTCTAGACTCCAGATCTTTCAGCCTTTGCCAAAATGAGTATTTATTTGAAGCTGCAAAATAGCACCTCGATATAATTGTACCAGGTAGTCAGATCACACATAACATCAGCTTTTCTACAAACATGGGAAAGGTAGGCCTATACAATTCTCTTATAGACGACACAGCTTTTTTTTGTACAGATACTGACAACTTGGAGGAACCACCAACATTTTGGCTGAATAGCTCAGCTGGTGGACTACTTTCACTGTGCTCAGGAGATTGGAAGTTCAAATCACACTCAAACCAATTCAAGTCTTATCCATCTTTGCATATGTAATTACAATTTTGATCCGATACATGAAAAAAACGTGTAACACCGATATGCCTCTGGTTAAATATGTTAACAGCATATGCCTTTGAAACTCAACAATCTTCAAAACCTGCTGATGTAAGACTGCAAATTTTTCAATTGGTAGCATTTAGCAGGCTGACTCACCTGTCTCATACTATGCGACGGAAGCTTCTTGCGGAACTCCTGCATGTTTCGGTATTGCCAGTTGTCGGTCTGCTTAGTCTCCAGCTCCAGTTGCAGTCTATCATCCAGGTCGGTGTCTTGGGCCAGCATGTGGTTGTAGAATGAGTGGAACTGCTCCTCTTGCGGATTTCTCCCTGGCAAAGACAGGAAGAAATTAAGCCCTGAACTCAAATGCCTTCCCGATGGAAAGGCTCATTCAATGCAACTTGTGTGTGTGCCATAAACAGGTTACCTTGCAAACTTATTCAGCTGACAACCTATATGTATTACAGGTTGCAGTAGTTTATGACAAAGATGTTGCCCACATAGTGTCCTACCCTTTTACCTTTAACACAAAATGGCCCACTAGAATCACAATCACTTTCGAGATTTGGATCACTGACTGTATAATTCTTGCCCTCGACAGGCTCTCTAGCAAGAGTGTGAAATATCCTGCAAATCGGGACCTAGTTACAGCATGGTTTCCTGAAAAAGAAAAATTCTTGACCAACATACTTTGAGTAACTTGCAAGTCTTCGAGTTGCTCTTCATCATCGGATCCTTGCTCTCTCAAATCTCCCAGCAACTTGCAGATGTCCCGCACATGCTGGGGCCGCATACCTAGTATGACGGGCCTCTGAGAAATCACAGTGGTAATTACAGTTGAGTATAATTTGGTTACTGTGGGAGGTTGCTTCGTTCTCCTCCTCTGCAATCCGCAGTTCAATTTCTAACCAGGTCAGCATATGGATTTGGTTTTTCGGTCCTTACCTTATCCGTGGGTTTGCACAGAAAATATATCTTGGGATTTCCTCCCACATCTAAAAGTGGCCTCTTACCGAAAACCCTACACAGAGAGCAATCCATTGATTACTGACAATGCTATGGTAGTTGAGTAAAAAAAAAGTGGCTGTTAGTTCATAAATTGAACAATACATGTGGAAGCATATAATGAAAAATTGGCAACTAATTTTCAACACAAGAGATGCTGCTTGACACCCCGAGCACAAACCCCTAAGAGACTGGTCTGAAAAATTTGAAGAGCTAAGTGAATACCTCCATATTTCCACTGCTGAATTTGGCTAATAGGTCACTGGGGGTCACTAAAGGGTAAAATACTTGAAAAACCTCTGAATGAAGGACCATCATTTAGGATGGATATACCTTACATTTCTGGCTTCTTCAGCCGCTTCCTCTGCTCTCCTGCGTGCCGCGTACATGCTGACGTCACTCCCTCAGTCTCGCAGAAGATCCATCCCTGTTGTATACAAAACATGGGAGATTGTAAAATGATGTGTTTTTCTATTTCATATCAATCAATAGTTCATTGCACAGTTCACTGTGTGCTAAAGCCTGTAGACTATAGAAACTGTGTCATATGTACCTGCATTTTTGTGGACGATGACTCAATTCCTGGATGGAGTATTGAGTGTAAGCTATGTGCACCTGCCAACAATGGGTAAAGTTGATGCAATAATCTACTCAGCAAAAATGCCTGTTCACTTTGTGTTAACTTTGAATCCCCACCATGTGTAGCTTAAAAAAAATTGAGAAAAATCAATCTTTTTTCCCGTTCGAATATTTATCTGTCCTTTTTATCCCAAACAGCTGCAAACAGGAAAAAAAGACAACAAAATGTACGTGTAGCTTTGTGAAATAGTAGACATAAAATAGAGTTAGAAAAGTTTCTTTTTTGGAAAAATAAGTTTTTCATATTCTATGTATGTGCAAGAAGAAACTATTTTGTAAAAATACAACACTATTTCTAAAACATAGAAGTGTCTACATGTACTTGATAAAAGATGTTAAAAAAAATTTGGTACATTTTAATCAATATCAGGTGCTAGATGCAAGCTTGCATCTCAGAAGGGGCAGGAGATTTGAAAGCTTGTCGCATCTTTGAACCAGATTGTAGCTTGCCGCAAACCTTCAATTTTCTACATGTATTGTGTTTTTTGCAATAAGAGTACACTTAAAATGCATGTGAACATAAACTTTTAGGTCACTCCATTTAGGCCATGAGAATAAAAGTTTTAGATTTGCATCCGGAACATTTTGGAAAAATATGACGCTTTTTTTCATTATTCATTATTTTTCGTACATGATGCGGTGCGGAGCACGGAGTAGCCAAATGCGATGAATATGTAAAGAACAAAGTAAGAATTCAGTCACAAAAGATCAACGGAAATATGCAATATACCGCATATTTGATCATTTTTACAATTTATCAATTTACCACTTATCCACTCATCTACATGTATACATGTACATGCATAAGTCTTCTTACTAACATGTTTTTGACGGTTACCCGTTCATAAGAATGAACACTCAGAATTATGGGCCAGTGTCATGATTGGCTGTTTGTAGGCGACCGATATCACGCTGGAAATGATTCTCACCTTCACCAACACACAGTAGATGTAAAGCTGTATTTGTAATGCTGCAGTGTTATCCACGACCTTGTAGTCTGCACTAGAAAATTTGGGACTTGAGTCTCATCCTAGTTTATAAACATTTTTAAGCAATGTTGACATTAATGAATATACAGTTTAATAGCGTAATATTTTCGAATTCTTCCAAATATATAATACCCTTGCCAGGTATTTAAGTCCCTAAAAATGAATTCTTGTTCAACCCCATAATGACCATTTAGAGTAATTTAAAGACCAAGAAATTGTACCCCAGTTTATTTTGTTCTTGTAAAAGGAAAGAACTATTTCTGGGAGAAAACAGCAGCACAGTGTATTTTAAAAAGACAAAAAAAATAGGTTGTTGGCCCTCAGGAGTTAGTACCAGCATGTTGTGTTCATATTGGGGCATATAAAATGTTTGGTAAATGAGTAGTATTTGAGTCTTAAGGTTTCTCTTAGTTTTGGCTTACGACTGAATACTAAATTAACAACTTAACTTCCACTGTTGGCATGGAAAATATATACATGTGCAGCATTTTCAAAATTCCTTTGTTTTCTTCTTGTATATTTATGTATTTGTTGTATGACCATTTCATAAAAGTATGTGAAAATAAAACATGTATTAGAGTAGATATGCACAAAAGTACTGGAGAAGAGTGTATTCAATGTTGTGTTCTGTCTACGTTTTGCGTCAAAATTTAATATTTCGGAAGGGTCCGTGTAGTTAATTTTGACCACACTATGAAAAGTGCCATTTTGAAACTTTTTCTTCTGTTGAAAATGATTCATGATAATATTCAAAATGAAATAAATTTCAATGGTCAACTAAATCAACGAGACACAATGCCGCTTTTTGAAGGATTACATGCACACATCAAAATTAATTGCGCATTAATTAGATTAATGAGATTTGACTTTTAATTTGCAATGTGGACAGTATGAGCATTCCATAGTGAAATTTACTTCAACGCATACACTGAAGCAATCCCTCATCTTTTCCCTACGCCACAAAATGTGGCTAAATATGTCTTTCAATACCATAAATTTTCTTAAAGATGCACAATCTGGCTCAATGTTGTTTAATGCTATGTGGTTGTCTATATGTTTTAATATCTTGTAACTCATCTGAAATCAAATTACTCTAAGCATATCCAGGACATTTAAGGGGATTAGGCCAGCTCAGGTCAGTATGACTTAATGGTCAAAGAAAACTAATTTTGGAATAAAACTGTAATGCATTTCATGAAGAAAATTGCTTAGGTAGGCTAATAAACCTCACCTACGCAATGTTTGAAAATATTATAATTGGTATGCCTTGTAAGGACACAACAAGTTTAAAGGATAGGCTAACTAATTATGCTTTCAGCTGAAAGTGTGGTTCATCAGAGAAAGTTCATATTTGGTGAAGATGAATTCTTGCTTAACCCCATAATGACTGTTAAGGGTAATTTTGAGGATTTAAAAAATTTCACATTTGATAAAACTGCCTAAATGAGCCTCCATGTGTACACGTGTAAAGCATTTCAAATGCAATGTTGCTTAACCAATTTGGCTGAAACTTGAACACTTCTAATTCATCCAGTAATTACATTCATAACGCATGTTCTTGAGACTTTTTGAATAATGCAAGGCATGAAAGTAGTCCCAAATTTAACCGCTGCGTTGGCGTGATGAAATTGGGCACAAATTCAGCGTGAGTAGGCCCCATTCTGTAACGTGACGCTCTTTAAAAATCTCAGAAAATCCAATGTTAACATTTCAAAAGCTCTCGTACATGTGATACTTTGGTTCTGAGAAATCAACGTTACTTCCGCTGGGGAAATCAGGCCAATTAAAGTAGAATTTAATTGGCACTTTGTAACAGGTACCGAAACCTAAGCGTTATGAACAGGTATGTTGAGGGCAAAGATTGTATTCGCGGCGCTATGTGGATGATGAAGTCGCCTTTTGTGAAATCCGAGGTATAAATGTTGCACTACAGCCTGTAGAGGCGAAAAATCAATAGGGCCGCACAACGCAAAAGTAAAATATGGCTCACCTACCTCGGTCTTTTCACAAGCGACCGTCCAGAGATACGTCTTTGACGTCTCCCTACTTTTGATTGAGCATCACGACAGTTGGTGATTAATGATGGGTGGAAAAACGTCTTTTCATTCTACACGAGTACAAACAAGAGGAGGAATTTCATCCACAAATCTACAGGCGTTCCATTAAATTGAGTTAAAGCACATGAATTCGGTGACGAGCGTACATGTACCTGCAAACAGTGTACTGCTCTTTCAACAGTGCATGAAGCAATCTGTGTCCAGTGGCTCACTCGGCTCACGAAAAAAACTCATTGGTATTTCAACTAATACATTTTGGAAAAAAAATGTACCAGCGGGCAGTGTTTAAGCTTGCGTGAGCAGCAAATCAACAAGAATCGTGAATAACTAAACTTTATTTCAAGCTTGGCCTCCACGGCGTGAGAAGGAAGTCGAACTGATGATTATTTCTAATCCGTGTGATGAGGTCTGGGCGGGTGATGTTTCCAAAACGCAACACCATCGTTACTGGTGGACATTACACGTAAAAGGTTTTAAAAGTGTCCGAAATCAAAAGGTATTAGCTTACTTGAAAGTGATTAACCCTTGTATGCCAACCAAGCAAATTATTTCCCTGGAAAGCTGCAGATAAACAGGGACTATTTTTTCGATGTGGATTGAAATTCAAACAGCCATGGCAGTTTGGTGGCATTATTTCTGATCGAGGGGAATACCCCAACAAGAAATTTTTGGTGGACACAGAATCTGCTCTGCAAATAAACTTGTCTATTCTAAAGTTCAATTCTAATAGATTTTAGATCGCTCTTTTTTTCTCTGTGGCGTCCCGAATGTATGCATGCAATTTTCGTTTCAGACAACCTCCAGCTTTCAATAACTATTCTTTTTACGACCAAGAACAGTAATATTATACGATAAGGTTAATCTGGCGAGTGGTGACCATTACTTTCTTTGAATTAAAAACAAAAATCGAATGCACAAGAAAAGGAAAAATTTCAATTGTATTTACTGAGGTAGAGTTTAATATAATGCAAGTGCTTCCGGAGCAATAGGCTATATCCTTAAATGATCCACAAAACATTGCACTGATTTTGATTTCCTCAAACCCCGATCGTAACTTTGTAAAAGTGCTCGAAAATAGACTAAGCCTGTGGCTATGGCAGTTAAGTTACATGTACAAATTTGCGCGTGCGTTACTGTTTTTTTTCTAAAGGGCGCATTAATTTTGGCTGACAAAAATCGCACTGTTATCGCAACACTATTTCATGTTTTTCGATCCACGAAAATAACATCGTGGCAAAACGTTTTGAATTTTCTCCAACAGTTCGCACTAGCTGCTCTAAGTTTACTTCGTCAGGGTATGCTGTGGTAAAACCTTTAGAAGAGAAAACATATAGGACGCCGGAAAATAGTGTCCCTGCTCAAAGAAATCATATAGGACTTCTTTGTATAACAAACCGGAGATTCCTTTTGCACTCAGGCCAATATCTTCTCGTGAAGTAAAAGCAAAGGGGTCGAGATTGCAATTGATCGTTTAACTAGACAAAAAAATAAGAAGGAAAGTAGCAATCGTGCCGGGAAAAAAAGAAACTAAAAAAAAACCCAAACAACAACAAACAAACCTTACGAGTGCAAAGCCACGTACGGAGATTTTTTTCGTTTCGTTCCCTTCTGCCTTGTTATTATTCTACCGCGACTCTTGCAAAAACAGTCATGATCCCCGCAAGTGTCGAATGGCCCTGACCCAAGGTCACCTTTTCGCAAACGTCGTTGGAAATTCCCAACGACGAAACGACAGGGTGTTTCTTTCTACAACTTAGGAATCGATCGCCGCCAAAAATCCCGCCTACACACGTCTGCCCAAGACTGCCATATGGTTTTTGATTGCGGGTGGGATTTTTTCCTCCTGAGAAATAACCAACATCGCCAGATTTTAACGTGTCTTTTACTTTGAGTTAATTTGACATACAATCGAGACAGCATAAGATGCGTTTCACAAGTTGTGTTGGATGCATACTGTTCAAAATGCAGTCGAGACTCTTTTGGGAGGTAAACAGACTTCATTTTCTCATTACATTATCTTCCCGTCTGAAACTTGGCAAACTGTCACTTGATAAATGGCACAAATAATGTATATTGTCTGATCCATATTTTTGTGTATTCTACTGCATCCCATGCGGAAAAAAATTTCAATTTAATGGATATTCCATCCCCAATTTGGTATACTTTTCACTCCAAATTCAACATTCAGATCAAATATGATTAGAAAATTTAGAATGCCCTGCGTGAAAAGGTGCAACCCAGCAGACTTCAGGAAAACTGAACATAAGTTATTTTCACATGATCATTTACGATTATTAACAAGGCGATTTGTAAAGGCTTTTACAATTATACCTTTCACAGCACAAGGCTTGAAACACACACTACACGTACTGCAGTTTCAAGTCAACTCTAATATCTGTTCGAATATCAAAAGCCTGACAACAGCAGTAACAAGTTTATTTCATTTCTCTTCACTTCGTACCGTTATTTCTTTTTCAGTTCGGTGATGAAAGTGTCCTCTTTACCACTTAAGACTGGATGGGACTTATGATTACAGAAAAACAAAAAAGTTGCATAAACAAATAAGTAAATCTGCACAAGTGCAGATCCAGTCAGATACTGCCGTCACATCTATACGTCCTCGAAAGACAAAGCCATTTATTCTTCCAAACTACAAAACTTCCAGGTGACTCAGAGTGTAATCAAGTAAGATCAAATAATAACTACACTGCTGTCATTTATTTCATTCTTGAACCATCAGCTTGGATTTGTCTCTTTTGTGCCAGCTGTTAATTTAAAACTAAAGCACTGAAATTACCTGACATCGTGGGCGTTGATCAATGGCGGAGGCAGAGACATGTCACCCTCTTTATTTTTGTTAGGGGGGGTTGATATCGTTTGTGCCCTTCCAGAGGCTTGCATTTGATTCTACAGCTCATGAAAGCTAATGCCTCTAAAACTGAAAACCCTCTTGGCAGCTCCAGGTACTGGTCCCCTCCCACTTTCCAGAAGTAATCGATGCCTTTACTTGGCAAAAATGAGTATGATCCTTATCTTTGGAGGTCAACCCTTCGTTTTAATTACAAAGATGAAGAGGGCTGAGACAACTGTGTCAAACATCCTCAAGATTCACAAGGAATATGCAATTATCCTTAAAGATGGCCATGCTAATGTCCTTTGGAAGGAGAAATTTCCTTTGACATGCAGACATGAGAGCTACATACAAGAAGTGACCACCCTTATATCAACATGGGCTCAGTGAACAGCTGGAACACAGCTTATTTTTCTAACTGATGGCAAAAAGAAGATTTTTTTTTGTCTGTTTTATTTCCCTCCCTTCGAAAAGCGTGTAAAAAGCCCCCAAATGTAGCCTCACCCCAAAAATAGGTTACCCCCAAAACTTCAACCACTTCTGTCCCCCCAAAAAATTTGCCCCCCCCCCAACAAAAATTGGGTTCTAGATCTGCCTTTGTCACTATTAAGTACATCTCACAAATGAAAAGGCCAATGCTTGGTTTTCCATGTAGACGAACTCTAAACTCTGCTGAAAATGTTATAGTTCACCTAGCTTAGTTCTTATCAGGCAAGTAATGATCTCCATGATATGGCCTTGCATTCCATGTTGACCCAAGTGTGGTCATCACAACCTCGCTTGACCTCACTGAGTTTGCCAGGCCTTCAAAGAAGACCGGCTCATCAAATATTTGCAGACCAATTGTGCAATTGGCAGCCTCCATGACATGATGGCCTTCATGTTTTGACTGCAAGTCGAGTCAGTACATAGGTTGCCCCATGAAGCAGGGCCCCTCTACCAGGCAGACTGTCTGCTGTCCTCCTGGGTTGTGATGAGGTCGATGATGGCCTGCATGATCCGGCCCTCCTTGGTGTCTTGACGCCAGCAGGTCATCCCTGGTTGGCTGATCTTCTGTTGCAGGAGCTTGTCCAGTTCACACCGGAGATCCTGGCAATGTTGGGATATATCCACAAAAGTCAGCATTTTCCTCTAGGACAGTTATATCTCTAAAGGCCTTTGGGGCAAATGAAAAATTTTGAAATGGTCTACAAAATGCCACAATTTGTCATAATATATACACAGCCTTTCGCTTTAACCACTTGCTGCCAGAGAGCCCGGTTTCAGGAACCTTGGGTACGTATGCAAAGCAAATCAGACAAGAGACTATACTCGGAACAAAAGACCGAGCTGCTGAGAATTGCCAAGTTTTTCAGTTGTCAATAGCGGAGGAAATGTCACTGTTTTGAAAGATTATACCACTGTTTGTGGCATCCAGCACAAGTGGATTACCACTGGGGACAAAAGCGCTCCAGTGATGAGTAATACAATACCGTTGCACACTAATCTGGCCCGTATTGAAAATATGCCAGCAGCGCACTGTGCCAGTTTCAGGAACAAAAGAAAATTATGTAACACCACACAATCTGGGCTCTTTTACAAAGCTGCAGGCCGGGCTGAAATACTCAGGCACTAATAGATGTTTTCTGTCAGATTAAAGTAGTTACCAGACGGTAACTCGATGGGGTTCAGGCATTCAAGAGAAACGGATATTAATTTTTGGATATTTTTGAAAACCGAAGATATTGAAAAATTACCCGGTTTTAGACACTGCACTTCCAAAGGCACTAGGCAGCAAGTGGTTAAATTGTTGATATCTGGAGAGCTTCAAACCAGTAAGTACGGTGCTCAGCTTAAAATCAACATGAAAGGCAAAACTCCAGCACTCACCAGAACAAAAAAACTGGTGCTGATTGTGTGAGCAGAGTAAGGTCTATGGAACACTGGTGCCTAGGACTGATACCTGCATTGTCATACATCCTAGTAAAGTCCAATATCGCTTTAGTGACCTCATCACTAGCCCCAAAACAAATCAATTACGCATCATCCAGCTCCTCATGAAAATCAATGGCTAGTCACATGACTTGTGCCACGGATCATGTGACTAGACACATGACTTGACTTATGAGTTACCTTGCTTGTGTTACACTTGTCATGTGCTCAACTACAACGACAAGCAAGTCAAACACTGTTCAAAACAGCATCCTTGGACGTTCAATTGAGGATGCCACGTTTGAGGACAGGGAATCAGTGACGGCTTACCTTGACTAAATAGGCTATTCTGGCCGGGGCAGAGAATTTGATGTGATCGTCGACGGTGATCATCTCCAGCCCTTCCTCTCGAGTGACACCAATCTTCCCGCCAAAGAACAGCAGAGGGTAGGGTTCCACGGCACTGGTGTCGTGGAGAAACACCTTTGGCGGAGGGGAAGACGGAGGAACCGACAACAAACTTTCAGCAAGGATGGCTCATGATGTGTCGGAGGTGTAAAGCGCGGGGTGTCAACAGCAGCTGTGTGCACCAGGTGCACAAAGCAGGAGAATGACCACCAGGGGGGTCACATCAAACACCACGCTTACCAAATCCAAGTGTTCAGGAAACACTTCCCAACAGGTGCGAATGTGAGGTGCACGGGTAATTACTCTCAAATAAGTCACTGCAAGATCAGTAGGCTATCCATCTCACCTGAGTGCCAATGGCAAATATCCTTTCCCCCTAAGATTGAGATTGGTTAAATTTTTACAGAAGCCAGTTGATAAGTGGTTGGAAGAGGATTGACCGTAGGGATGTGCGTTTAAGAGTATTCCATTTTATGTCAATACCGGGTAACTGGGTACCCTTAAACTATAGATAACACTTGACAAATTGCATTGCATGTAATCCTGGCGGACTATGTGCCCGAAACAGGGCTCTGTTTTCATACATAGGAAGCAGCACAATGTTCTAAACGTTAGAGGAGAATCTTCCCCGTCTTTTATTAAAAGAAGTGTTTATACCTTTAATTTGTATTAAACAAAAGAAACTCCATCTATTTATGACGGCAGGACTGGGTTTTTGAGTGACACGATGATTTTTAACCAATTCTGCCCTTCACTAGTAAAATTTACATGCATTTTATACATGGAATTCTTTTACGGGCATCCAGCCAAAAAAAATGGAACCAGGCTTTGATATCGACGGGTTCACAGGCCTGAGTGACAGGCCCATACATGCCAGTTTCTTCCACTTTGGTCAGATCTCTTTGTGTCAACGAAAGCCACGTCCTTCAGACAGCCACACACAATGTCCAACAAGACTGACTTGTAACACAGCAAGCCTACAAATATTCGCTTGTAGGAACCACCTCATAGTAGACATTTTTCACATATCATCCTGCCGCTAACCACACATTTATTACAACTATACCTCATGCACATTCATGATCGAATACTGAAGTCTAATCNGGACCATTCATCATTGAGCGCTATCTGCTATTTTGGCTGTTTGTCAAGGTCGCACACAAGCTTTTATGCACAGAGTAAATAGGCATGAGTAGATAAACTAGCACACAGTTACCTGTCTGCTAGTTCATGTTGTACTTTATAAAGCAAATGGGGAACTGTTCTATGGGCTTAACGTACGTACACTTGAAAAGATGGCAAGACAGGTAACTGTCGATCAACATTTTCCCAAGCTCAGTGACGTGTTTCACTTCACAGAGGTTAACTCAATATGTATGAGGTACAATAAAACCAATATAACATGGCTTATTTGGGTTGAATAGTTGATATCAACTCCCTCCCCCAGAGGGATAATATCAACTATTCAACCTCAAACCATGTTATATATGTATACTGTCCACTAGCATTTATACCAATGACAATGGGGCCTCACTTATACACTCCTCATTATCCTCATTCAAGCATTTCTACAGAGAAGGTGAAAAATCTGCCGAATCTTCCTCATTCTCGTGCCAAAATAAACACTGCTTCAACGGTGCAAGGGGGTGTCCCTCTTTTCCCACAGTGCAATACGAAATGGGGCTCTCCATGGTACCCCGCTGACGGTGCCCTGCATCGGGACTATACTCACGTTGGTGGATTTCAGCTTGAGATGGTAGAGGATCCAGTTGGTGGGGAAGTGAGCCTCGTCGGAGTTCACCGACTTGGGATGGATCTTGACCCGCCCATCTTGGGGAGTCATAATCTTAGCTGGCCTGCACAGTACAGACATAGAAACTCATGTCTCCTGATCTGCAAGTCATTTAACAACAACTAAAGACTTTCTTTACATTTTTGGGGGACAGCAGTAACCATAATAATGATTTGTTTATTATGTGCATATTTCATGTGATAATATTCAAATGCCCTTAAAAAGACTTTAACTGGATACAGTGAAATAGTGTCAGTTGAGAATACATCCAAAACTTAAACTAATAAAAGGCATCAACAAAACCTTGATATTATTAAAGTAAAATTCATTCATTTACAACTTAAAGACTGGAGAACAAAAATAACCACTGCGAAGATCTCTGGACAGACAACGGAGACCGAGGCTACATCCGTATCTGTTGAAGAGAACTAGGTTTAGGTCTTTGCTGCATTCAAAACATGCAGAGACATGCTGGCACAAGAGGCAGTCACAGCCCTGAAAACCCATGTCGAAGACACAGACACAAACACAAACAAGCAGGTGAATTAACCCCTGGAGGCTTTTACCTTAGTCTTCCTTCTCGCCTGTTGAATGAGTTCTTCTTCACCTGGGCCACATTCGGATACAGACCTGAACACAGTATAGCCTTGACTAGCTGCCTGTTGTCTGCATGAGAAAAAAATAAATAAAAATGACCTTCCAGGAGCCGACTATAAAACTGGGTTGGGGGTAATAGTCTAATTCCTCAGAGCCACCTGGGTTTATAGAATAGTCAACAGAATGAGTTTCATTATGATGTAACTTGCGAAAAGGCCGTATCTGGCTTTAGGTGTCGCTTCCATGATCACAAACACGAAATTTCTCATTGTTTCAATTCTGTACGTCTTCGTCTTGCAGTGATTAGTTTTCAAGTCTTGTCCTCAACAGAAATGCCATAACTGTCATACTTTAGCACCGTGCAAATGAGTCCACAACGTCTGAATTTGATGGTAGACTGAACACTCACACAACCTCAGGGATTCGACTTCAATGCTGAGAAAATCTCCCCAATGGCTCACCTGAGTTCCTGTTAGCTGCCCTCTGTTTGCAGGATTTCCCAGCCACGAAGCCTATGGATGCCAGCAGCTCACAGAACTGGGTCTTCATGTTGTCCAGCATCTAGTCCAAGATTGGGGAGAAAATAGAGGAAGAATATCTTTATTAGATCTAGAAAACGTCCTTCCATCGTGAACTTTACAGGTTGTCTTAAGGCAGTAAGGATTGTCAAATTCTAAGTCCATGTGCACTGCTGGTGGAAGACGTAAATTTGAATATTAGGGTTGGCCATTTGAAAACCTATTTCATTAGATTTCTGGCACACCCATGTTACGTTTTGTCCAAAACCTTGTACTTCTAATCTTACATTTCTATGGACTTGGACACTCGAAATAGGATTCAACTTCAACACAAACTTGAAGGGAAAAAAGTTCATGAGGTTGCTGTGGTGGGACTTGAGCCCAAGACTCCTTCCTTACAATTCATGTTTTGGTAGAGCTGGAGAATCAAGCTGCATCTCTGAGGAAGCAGCTCCTAATACCTTGAGAGTGGTGATGGACATGAAGTTCCTCCAGCAGTAATCACTCTCGGCCTGTCGTCCGCGGTCTCTGGCCTCTTCCCAGCCAGCCACGGCATTGACCAGCATGAGGTGGTCGCTGAACGTGTCCTCCGAAATGCGCTTACGCTGGGCGTCGGCCATCTCCTCCTTGCCCTGCAACAAATCGTCAAATTTTCACTCCTGGCTCACTACCTAAAAGCAACCTAGCTTCATTTCTTTCTCATTCTTATGCCCATCTTGCATGAAGAAAGAGGAACAATTCAGCAGTCTTTCAAATCTTTTTCAAATCAAATTATAGTCAATCAAAATAGAAAACCTTGTTGGGCCAGATTTTGAAAGATTAACCACTGCACTACAGTAGGGCTGTGAAGAGAAACTTGATACCAAAACCTGAGAGAGAGAAAAAAATGATTGGACATGGAAGGGGGAAGTCTCAGAACACATCACAGCTATTAAAAGAGACGGTTGCCAACTAGGCTTAGAGCTGAAGGTATTAAGGTAAAGGCACTTTGTAATCATTGGTACGATGGAAAGCACTATATAAGCATTACCGTCACTATCAAATTATTACAAATTATTAATTATTCGCTCTTGAATATAAGGCAGACTCCGAGCCAAAGCAGATTTGGAGTCAGAATGGCAGTGATGCTGTGATGTGGAACATGTGGAGAGCAGAAAGATCTCACCAGTGGAATGACAAAGGGATCCTTGAAGCTAAGGCTGGCAGCGATGGTTAGGATGGGGTCCAGGCAGCAGAACATGGCACCGAAGAGAATCATGCGGCCGATTGTCGGGGAGACAGGGAGCCGGGCAAGGTGGTAACCCAGCGGGGTGAGTTCCTCATTCTCATCCAAAGCATTCTGGGAGAAAAAAAGAGAGAATATCACTTTAAAACTAAAACCCCATGACATTAAACCGAAAACACTGTATCATGCGACGTGGTCAGACCATCAGAAGACGAGGCACATGATCAGTCATGGAGTTAACCACAGGTATCAGAACGAATAATGACTCAGGAATGATATTGCCACAGTTGAACTGAACACCTTTTTACTTGAATTTAAAATGGAGGGTCTTGCATTCGTCTCACGGTGGTCTTGTGGGGTCTAGTGACCACCCAACAAGATCTTGACAACAACAATGCACTGAAAATCAAAAAGTGACCAATCAGAAAACACCGGATGAGGTTATAGTGAGACTGACCATCCGTGTTAGGCTTTCCAATGCCAGGTCCACTGCCCCAGGGTCAGGCTGCTGTAGGGCCTTCTCAATGAAGCCGTGGACACTACCAAGCTTCAGTGACTGTAGAGACAAAAACAAATCCCACGATGTCAGTGTGTGATCATGTTACTTGCAAACTGTAGCAACATTATTTTGTACATATAAACAGAGTGTGAGGTCATCAGTACGTGGACCAATCACCACGTCTGCCCACCTTGATTTGCAGGCAGAGTTCGTCCAGTGGCGTCCGCAGCATCTCCGGCAGCTGGTAGTCTGCCAGCATGGCCGCCTTAAGCTGGTTGTATAGATGATAGCACTCCCCGGGTTGCACTCTGGACATTTAGATCAAATGCACATTTGCCGTAATACACTCCCAACACCTGCAGCACCATACCCACCTGTTCAAGCTACATTTGAAGTTTTTTGCTCCCAAAATAAACAGACTTTTTAATGACATATCACAGCTGTTATCTATTATCTACTCATTCAAGCATACTAAATATTCATTCACATTCTGAAGGGACAAAACAATATTTTTTACAGACAAAAACTTGTAGAGGTGGACTTCGCTATTTGAGTACAAGTGATTTGTTTTCTGGTAATAAGATCAAAATATGTGCACATCTTATTCACGAGTGTCTACCCACTCTCCTTTCTTGCCATTTTTATGCTTATAAGTGGAGCTGCAGACAAAAAATGTGCATATATGAATAGATAATCAATACATTTGTATATATGAATAGCTAATGATATGTCTGCATACCTGCCAGCTCTCCCCCTTCTCTGACGGGCTGATGCTACACTGATCCACTCCGGCTTCAAGGTGCTGAGGTTGTTTTCCACGTCAAAGTTCCGCTCCTTGACGCGGCCCAGGTTGATGACGTACACCACGTCGTCAATGGTTATGCTCGTCTCGGCAATGTTGGTTGCTATGACGATCTTGCGGACGCCCGGCGGGGGTCGCTCAAATACCTGTATCGTAGTTTGTGAAAAGTTCAAGTAAGACTCATTGAGGTTCAACCGAAACTTATCCAAAAGACCAAAAGTGAATCTCACTGAATTTGTCACAGAAACCTGGCGTTTTATACAAATTTTACCATAGAGTATTCTACAGACATTTAAATAAAGCCAGAAATGTGTTGAAAACACCTCCTGCAACTGGCAACCAAAACATGATCTACAAAATAAGCGACAAGTTACAAGGAATCCTTTGTTACTTGCTCTTCAAAGAAGCACAATTCTCTCTGTTTTAACAGCTAGGCTACTTATATTACAATTTGCTCTAGATTTCAAAGACGCTGTACCAGTCAAAACCAACAGCGTTTGTCAATGATTCTGGCTGCATCCGAATCTCTTATCTAGAGCTAGGTCTAGGTCTTCACTCCATTAGAAATGCCTGGAGATGCGTAGACAATAGACCTAGCCGTAGCTCCGGAAGCCCGTTTCGGTCACGGCCTCTGTTTCTTTGTTTATCAACTTCATTCTAATCCCATAACTAATAACTGCTGTTATGAGCTGCATGAAAAAATGAGAACCGATTTGATTCAAATTCACTCCAGACCTGAAGTTTGAGAGGCGTGGTAAAAACAAAAAATAACACCAACATTAGACAAGACCATCGAGTCGTGTTTGGGGAGCTGAAATGCTGTGCGTCCAACTTAATATCAGACCTGTCTTTGGTTGACTGTGGGCATCATGGAGTGCAGGGGAATGATGCGGAAGTTGTTGTTCCGGAACATCTGCTGCTGGGTCAGGAGGTCGTTCACTTTGGAGATCTGCTCCCAGCCTGGGAGGAAGACCAGAAGGGCGCCCTCCTAAAAAGAGAAGAATTTAGACGCAAAAGCAAATCATACCCAACGTTACTAAATTGGGAAAACCTATCTAACAGATTAATCATTTTTAAAACGATTGGAATTCTTTTCAGATCAGCATATTCAAGATGTCTCAAGGTGTGAACCTAATATCATGTCTCAACAGTTTGCAGAAAAGTTGTATTCACCTAACAAGAAAATCATGCAGCTGCTTATTGACGTACTCTATGAAGGCATGGAGTTCATTGGATTAGATTGCTTTGAAATGAACTGGATTGGGACGGGTTGGGTGGAGTTGGGTTTGGCCGGGCTGGGTAGGGTTGGGCTGGATTTGGTTGGATTAGGTTGGGTTGGGCCTGGTTGGATTGGGCTGGGCTGGGCTGGGTTTGCTTTGGTTGGCTAGGGCTGGGCCTGGTTTGATTGGGCTGGGCTTGGCTGGGTTGGGTTGGGCTGGTATTGGTTGAGTTTAGTTGGGTTAAGTTGAGTTGGGCTGGGTATAGGTTGGGCTGGGTATGGGCTTGGCTGGGATTGGCTGGGTTGAGTTGGCTGGATTGGGCTGGGTTCAGACCATGGGCTGTCTGGGTGGACACACAGTGTGAACTTTGCTGGTAACAATAATGAATAAAATTACTGGCCACTCGTACCAACAAGATCAATGAAATACTGGGAAATCCTTATGAACTGACCGGTTTGTTGAGGCAGATGTAACGAATGACAGAAGAAACCATCTCCAGATCCATATTCTCATGGTCCATGTTTTCGAGATGATACACCACCTCTTCAGGATATCTACCAGAATACACCAAAACAACCTCAACAGTCGGGTAGAAAATATACAGGAGACCAATAACAAGAGACCAGATGGGTGATGGTGGAAAACCTCGTACTTAGAATGTGTTTCTTGAAGTCAGGAGATTGCTATCTTTGCTTGCTGGTTTATGAATATTCATGTTTCCTCCTTCTCTAATAATAAGCACATTCTACAAATACAAAGAGTTGCTAATGCAGTGCTAACACAGTGTTCAATGCAATGACTTTACTTAATACATGAACTTGTGAGATTACATAAAAAAACAGAAAATGGCAACAAAGGGAGGTCTTAGGTTCTCCTGCCTTCCACTCTGAGGATGTATTTTATATCTGATACACCCACTGACTTGCATACTATGTACCTAACTTACAACTGAATGTGCACAAAACGGTGCTTGTCTTGTGTATTTGGGAAGACCACCGTGATGAAAGTGACATCCACAACACCAAATGTATGCTTTTCATTTTTTGGAGTGTGCTCTTATGGGATTGTTGATTTGAGCAGCATCTGTGTAGCTTACGTTTGTCGCATTTCGACGATGTAGTTGCTGAACCTCTCCTTGAATTCCTCCTCTTTCTTCAGCTCATCCTCCCGGTAGCGCTTCCCACGTCGAAACTTTAGCCACACCGGCTCGTGTCTCCTACGCTGCTCAGGAGGATGATACCTGTTCAACAAACGAACAAAGACAAGTTTTTCAAAAGGAGATAGGAATAAGAAGTCTGTCATATAGAAGGAGAAGGTATTTGGTAAAAAGCAACAGGTTTCTGAAGACACACGTCGCGATGTTGTACCCGGTACATTCAAAGTTGTTTAAAAAAATGGGTTGGTAAGCTGATCTTGATAAATTTTCACCTGTACTTTCATTTCTTCTCAATGTTTTACAGTATACTATGTGCTTTCAAGTTCACCTATGCACAAAGTATGACCTGTCCGCCAAAACTATACCTGTCTGTATCCTGGACTGTGAAAACAGCCCAACTGTTAGTGTAATAAGGTTTGATATCTCCTTTTCTTTTAGGTACACAGATTAAGCCACTAGTGTAACACCGACAGATTTCAGAGGTTAAAAGAAGCTTCCCGAGTCTGTGTTTGCCTTACTTGGTCATCTGAAGAACGTCCTCCAGCCAGTACTCCAGGACGGGGAAGGTGAAACCAGGAATGTTGGCCATCGGGCAACCGTGGAAGTAGGCTGAGAACAGTTCGGCATTGAGGGTCGCACTCATCAGGATTAACTTGAGCGTCGGTCTGAAAACGAGAGAAACATTTGGTTATCGACCACGATCACTGGGCCGACAGGATTCCTGCATCCAGGAACTGCTACAAGCTCGATGATCAGGGGTATCGTAAAATCACGTGAAGTGGCTTGATCCTCATCAAAAAAACATATCTTCACCCAATTTATCACTGTAACTCAATTCAAGTCTTTTCACGAGACAGGCAAAGGTTGAAATATTCAAATCACATCCTGTTTTTCCCTTTCATCCACTGTCACAGACAACAATATTTACTGTTGCATCAGGCTTGAAGCAACTGGCCAACACTGCCAAACTCAGTGGTAAATTGCCATAGATCTGTGCGAGTATCAAGCAGGAGGCCTTCTCTATTTTTTTGTTTCTACAAACTCTTCCTCAACCATCCTCTCTGTACCTTTTGGGAAGAATATCCTTGAGAATGACCAGCAGGAAGTCAGAGATGATGTCTCTCTCATGAACCTCGTCCAGAACAACGTGGCTTACGCTTTGCAGAAGTCTGTCCCAAACAGATGTATTTAAATTAACATTCTATTCAACGTACACAAAATACAGATGCTTCTTGTCAAAAAACAAGAGAAACGGAAGACTGTGGCTTTCTAACTACAAGCAAACCTTGCCTCTGCAGGGCAAAACAACACAAGGTTTTGTTACATGAAAAAGAACAGCCATTACATCAAAAGGGATATGAGCTTTCATGTTTTTCCAGTCAAGTAACTTACCGGTCTGATTCCAGCCACTTCAGCAAGATACCATTGGTGCAGTAGAGGATGCAGCCCTGTTGCCGTGGGAACCGTGCCTCCAATCTAATCTGGTACCCCGTGCTGTTGCCATTGCCGCATGCCTCACCTCTCTCACACGCCACCCTCTCAGCCACCTGACAAACCAGTAACCAGGACTTGAACATATGTTTTTGGTTCCTTTTGTGGACTCAATTGGAGATGCACACAGGTTTTTTTTAACAACTTTGCCTTCAAGACGCTATTGGGGGTGATACTAATGCACTTTTTCCATTAGTTGGTCAATGGACACTCATTCAACGTATATATTGAGGGGCATGTAATAAAGGAATCTGTGTTACTGGGCTGGAGAGGGCATCACTTAAAACCACAAATCAAGAAGCAGCGCTTTATAGAACTTCTTCATATTTTGTGCTTGAAGCTGCCAGCAACATCAAATTGCTGGTAAAAAGCACAACGGAAATTAACGTGAGGATTAAAACCACAATTCATACATGCATTATACAAATTATAACCAGCAATAGACTCTTTGAATTCAAGAGCATCTGACGAAACACATGTCGAATAATTCCAATGTTATTACAGTTTATCTCATACGTAAAAATCCTGACATTGCACGGAGCATGCCTGAGCATTTCACTGACCGATATGGCTGAGATTCTACGGGGCTGAGTACAGATGACGCGGCAGGTCGACCCCTGACCTTGCTGGATATGGTGGTCTAGGATAAACTGGGGCACCTGGGTGGTCTTGCCGCAGCCTGTCTCCCCGCTGATGACCACCACCTGGTTCTCGCTGATCAAACGCAGAAGCTCCTTGATGAAAAACGGCATGAAAGAGCATGGTCGGGGAAGAGTGGAAATTGACACAAGATGCATCTCAAGGTTTACCTTGAGATTTTAAAAGGCACCTCGGGGTAAAACATAGAGTTACGCCTGGTTTAAGTTTGCATCCTTCTTGCAAAAAGAACCCAGGTTAAAAGAAAATTGCACAGAGGTAATTTTTTTGGAGGGATTCCTGACTCCAGATCTTTCAGCCTTTGCCAAAGTGAGTATTAATCTGAAGCGGAAGTTCAGCATCTCGAAATATGTACCAGGCAGTCAGGGATCATCTCCGAAAGTCATGGTAAAAACAAGGTCAGCTTTTCTACAAACGTGGGAAGAGGTAAACAAATCTCTCCCAGAGGACACAGCATTTTTAAATACAGATACTGAAGACTAGGTGGAACCACCAACCTAGTCTGGATAGCTCAGCTAGTGGAGAACTTTCGTGGTGCTCAAAGGATCAAAAGTTCAAATCCCACTCCAACCAATTTCCTTGTCCATCTGTATAACTACAGTTTGGATAGGATTCATGAAAAAAATGCACAACCGATATCCCCTGATGCCTATGCTTAAGAACAAATGCCTTTGACTCTAAAGAACACCTTCAAAACCTGCTGATGTAAGACGTCAACGTTTTAACGAGCAACATTTAGTGGCCTTCACTTACATGTCTCATATTGTAGGATGGCAGCTTCTTGCGGAACTCCTGCATGTCTCTGTATTGCCGGTTGTTGGCCAACTTAGTCTCCAGCTCCAGCCGTAGTCTATCGTCCAGGCCAGCATCTCGGGTTAGCACGTGGCTGTAGAATGAGTGGAACTGCTCCTCTTGCGGATTTTTCCCTGGTAGAAACAAAGGAGACGGCCCCGAACTCACACATCTTCCCAAATGAAAGACTCATTCAATGCAACTTGCAGGAATGTTGTGACAAAAAAACAATGCATCTCTTCTTTTAATCAACATTGAGCCAATTCGGTCTTTCATTTTGGAAAGGTCACTCGCAAATAATGCATCTGACGTCAAGCCAGCCGAAGCGTGTTCACTGCGTGAGTCAGCGTACGGACGTGCTGAAAGGGTGGGCCTCGCGTATGTATTAATGCTCTGGGATGACCTATACAACACATTTCATTTTGAGCGCACCTTCTGCACTGGCTCATCGCCGTGCTAGACCCGAAGAGGAAAGTGACCTCTGGAAAGGCCAGCATCCATGAAAGCAATAAAACCATTAAACCGTCAGGAAACCACCTGTGTGTTGGATAAAGGCCCATGGCATTCATCCATCAAACACAGGGTTATCAAGTGCCACTACTTCATCCACAGGTTACCTTGCAAACTTATTCAACTGACAACCTGCATATACATGTATTGTGGGTTGCAGTGATTTGTGACAAAGTCGTTCCCTACATAGTGTACGACCCTTCTGCCTTTGACATGACTTGACATGGCTTTAATACTGGAATCAATTTACTATAATTCAAGATTTGATTCACTGATCTTTGCTGTATGCAGCTGTTCACCTCGACAACAACTTACTGGGGGTAACTTCCATGTTTTCGAGTTGTTCTTCGTCATCAGATCCCTGGTTTCTCACATCGTCCAACAACTTGCAGATGTGCCGCTCATGCTCGGGCTGCATACCTATGACGGGCCTCTGGGAAATTAAAGTGGTAATTATAGTGGGACAAGTTGGGTAGGCGCAGGTGGTTGCTTTGTCCTCCTTTCACCGGTACTCGGCAACTTGGGTTCAAATCCCAGACCAGCACGTGGATGGGGTTTTACACAGAATAGTGGGTTTCCCCCACCTCTAAAACTGAATATCTCTTTAGTGTCTCCTTACCCAAGGCCACTACAGAGCAAGTCATTGAGCAATGACAATGCTATGCCAATAAGCGTTAAGTTTGAAATGTTAACAATGTGGACACTTACAATGGAAATCTGGCAACTACATTTCACCACTAGAAATCTGGGAAAGAATTGGATGTACGGATGCCACTTGACTTCCTGTGCACAAACCCTATGAGACTGGTCTGAAAAATTCTAAGTGTTTCTGTATGAATACCATACCATTTTCTCTGCTGAATTTGACTCTCAGGACATGTTGTTATTTTCAGATGGCTGATAGGTCACTGCACGGAAAAATTAGTGGCATCTGCATAGGCAGGGTTTTTCAAAAAAGGGAACTCCAACTTTAAGGGCTTGATATAGCTACATGTATATGGCATCTCTCACAGCATTTTGGGGGCCACCACAATAAAATTGAAGATAAGAGCTTTCAAATGACACCTTTCTTGCCTAATTATGCTATTGCATAAGTGAATACCAATGGATTGAAATCACGGCACCAAAACGGCACTGGTTCACTTATTGAGCCTCATTGCATTTCACTTGACCAACTGCCACACCTTGATTGTGAATAATGTCTTGCCTGGTTATACAATGGGTTTTATTCAAAAGGACTCGCATGTCCATTCTGGCCATCAAACAAGCTTGGTATCACGATGGTGCAGCTACATGTAACCACTCAGCACAGAATTTTTGTGGTAAAGACATTTCAAGAAACCAAAGGTCTGCAAGCCCATCGGACGCTTTTCGAGAAGCATTGCGAGACAGACACCCACCAGCAAAGAAAGCAATCTGGGCCAATGTTAAAAAGTATGAAACACATGGAACCAGCTTAAAAAGGAACAGAGGTCACTCAGGACGGCTGTTGATGAATGTGCGCTAAATGAATTAATAATCTGTCATTAAAATTAATGCGAATTCGTGTTGATTTTGTTTCACATGAAAATGAACCAACCACATTTTTGCACCCTAAATTCTCGGTGATGGTGCTCTATCATGCATTGCCCAGGACAACAAACCTTTGCGTCATTTTATTTTGATGATGTCTACTCTAAAGTGGTACCGTGATCCTTGCTGAAAGGTATATAGTATGGTCGTATTAACCCCCTTAAAGTTGGATTATCTTTTTTTAAAAACACCCTGTACAAATTCTTTCCAATGTCCAAAATCTGGGACAAACACAGAGTTGATGGCTCGTGAGCAATACTTAACGACCCTCTGAATGAAATGATTGTGGTTGTCAGTTACAAGCTTACATTTCTGGCTTCTTCGGCCGCTTTCTTTGCCCTCCCGCGTGCAGCATACCACATGCCGATCTGTCGTCCCCTCAGCCCCGGTGGTGGTCCGCCCATTTTACCCCCTCCACCGTGGCCTTGTCCCCACCCACTCCCTCCTTCTTCTCCATCTCTGCTGCTGGGTCCCGCTCGCCCGTCTTCCTGGCCTCCATCCCATCTGGCGCCCCGGTCTCGGCCTCTGTGGCTGTTGAAGTAGCGTCCCCTGGCCTTGCTCATTTGATCGAAAGTCAGCCTGTTTAAGGTGAATCATTTTGACCAAAACAATGAATTTTAAACAAAACAAAATTAAGAACTCCTTACTCTTTGCATGACAGGTGATATGCTATGGTGCTCCATGACTTAGGGTTGCTGGAGTAACTCCATTCCTATAAATGTTCATGACACCAGGAAATAAACACACATTTTCCAGCAAGACTCATGTTACAAGGGGCTGGAGGCGCCTTGTTATTACTACTGGTGTTAAGATACCTTGCATGATCTGCTTTGCATAACCAATCCAGCTCCAGATGGAAGCAAATTTCAACGAGAGTAATACTACATCTGCTGTCAATTTCAAGGCTGGATATTCATGTCATATCTAAGCTCAAGGCCATCACAGGTACAGTCATGGCATGACAGTCCCTGAAAATAAGTGATCAATACGAGCGATTCACAATAGTGCGCCACCAAGAGTTTGCAACACGCTGGCCAATCATAACGCACAAAATTTGTCGACCCTTTCCAAACGCGCATTGGGTCGACAAATTTCGCGCACTGTGATTGGCTAACGCATTGCAAACTCTTGGTGGCGCACTAATGTGAAACAAAATACACAGTCCCCTAATGTGGCCCAATTCGATGTTCACTTGACTTATCCTAAAGGCTTTTTGAACCTTTGTGGACAAGTTCAGTGTCAACAGGTCAAGAAATTGCATCTGAAATTAAAAAAACAGCATGTGGCACAGTTGAAAATATTTCAGAAAATCCAACATAAACATTTAAAGTAAAGGTTTCTTTAAATTTGATGAATTTAACTAAATCATTATTACCTCCACTAACATACACAATTACAAAACCATTTCGTATTCTTGAGTGTAGGCCTATGTTAAAAGACTTCAAAATGTTCTTTTTGCACTTCGGAAGAAAACTGGATCAAGATAAAATTTCATCTGAACTTTGCAGTGGGTGTGCATTATCGAGATTTATGAATAAAAAATGGGAGTTCGAGTAAATTTCACCTTTTGACATTTTGAGGTGAAAGTATATTGCGACACTAGAAGAAAAATTCAAAGTGTGCCAAGTTAGATCATGGGGGTAGGAGGCCGGGCCAGTCCCAACTACATAGTTGGGTTGGGACTAATGCTGTAGTTGGGGCGTGACATTCACCAGACCTGGCTATCTACATTAATTTAATAGGCCCAGACCGGCTGACCGGGATTTTTGATGCTAAATAATAAATTGCTATGGAGGAAATTTCACCCTGGAGGAATAAAAACACTGATTCAAAACACCCCATCAACAGCAAACCGAGGAAAATATTGTTTCTAGGTTAGACATGTTAGAAGAAGAAAGACTCACTTAATTCTATCTAGAGGGGAAAATGATCTGCGTCCGTTTCGGAGACCTCCGCAGAAAGTAAAACGTGCACTTGCAATCATGACATTGACACATGATGGGAAGGCTCATGAATTGAAGCCCCTGTCTTATTGGTATAGCGCCCTCATTCGTCAGCACAACACAGAGAAAATGGCGGAGCTTTGTGTTGGAACTGCGCAAATGATCGCTGGTAATATACAATGTTAATCTCCTTTCAAAGTTGAAGTAATTCAGGCAGATGTCGTTATGTTAATTTACAGATATCTGTTCCGCACCATTTTCATTTCTGATGAGTTCTGCTCATATCTATTTCACAAATTTTTCAACATCTTTTGGTGGTGTGCCCTTTCAACTCGGCATGATTGTATTTATGCGCAGTCGGTCATGTCATCGTCATGGTATAGGCCCTACTACTGTTTTTTCCATCAGGACCAACTATGGTAAACCTTTACTGGAAAGAGTTCCATACCCGGTACCATACATCGCCGCACAAACCCTTGGAGACTGGTTGTAAACATTTCAAGCGTTTTCTAAAGTTCAATATATCCTCCATGTAGGCCTATTCCCTGCCAAATTTACATGTGTGATGGCAGCTTACTGCAGAGGAAAAGTAGTGACATCCATGTGTAGAATTCTTCTCAGAAAAAAATGTTGCATCCTGAATCCACTTCAGCAGTTGTGTACAAAGTCTATGGGGAGTGAAGAGAATTTTCTAAGTATTTCCCAACAACCATGACAACATACGTAAATGTTTTTCAGTCCAGAATTCGTGTCTTTCCAGCATTTCTGTAATGACTGACTTTTATTGAGATGTTATGTGATGAGAAAAGTGGAGTCAGGGTACAACATTTTTTCCTTCTCTTTTATTTTTCAACTTCATTAGTCACAGGTGCATTACAGTTGAATAAAAATTCATCATGACATTGGGCAGGGACCCAGCATTCTTTTATATTCCCCAGATTTGTCACGAGTACCTTTTCATTAGAACTGGCATGATCTGGAAATTTTTTTTCAGGAAATTTGATATTGTAAAAAGCTGTCAGCCTGTTTTCTCACAGGTCAAATAATTTTGCGTGAATGTCTAAACATGGCAAAAGATACTTAAGTGTAAAGCTTAATGAAATGTTGTCATGAATAAGAGTTGATTTTTTTTATCTTAGATTCTGCTACTTCTGCATAATCTGTAGACCACAGACAACATTGTCAGCTTTGTCCAGAGTTGGGCACACATCAGGACTTTGAGTGCAAGACTTCTGTCACCGGCCATGGATTCATTCCTGTTGGCGGCCGGCATCCTCTACTTCCTGGCCATCTCCCTGTGCGGCATGAGCCTGGCCCTGCCCCTGTGGGTGGTCTCCAATGTCCAGCGCTCGGACCTGAGCCTGGGCCTGCTGGTCCATTGCCAGCAGATCTATGGCCGGCCCTGGGACTGCCGCTACGCCGAGGGCCCGCTGGAGTGGCTCCTGGCCGCCGTACTGATCATGCTGGGTATTGTGGCGCTGGCCGTCGGCACGGGCATGATCATCTTCTCCGACAAGCGGCCCCGGCTGCGGCGCTACCCCAAGTACATGGGGCTGGCCGCCTGGACGCTCTTCTGCTTGGCCATCATGATGTTCCCGGCTGGCTTTGACCTCCCACTGATCGGTGGCAATCCCTACCTCCTGCCCAACAGCGTCAAGACTGGCATCTCCTATGGCCTGTTCTTCACGGGCATCATCTGCACGTTCTTTGGGTCAGCTTTGGCACTGGGAAAGATGTATTATGACATCATTGTTCTCCGATAAACTTTTTTTTTTCTTTTTCCTATGCCATATTATTCCATCAAAACTGTGACAAATCATGGACAATCCGGCACATTCATAATCTCACGTGATGCATGTACATAGTGTAAAATAGGCAGAGATAATATAAAACAGACAGCGCACATCAGTATTTTTAAGTGATGCACGTAATGGAGTAACAGTTACGCTGAATGGGCAGAATTTGTGTCAATTGTGAATTGTGGCATAAAGTCGTGTCTTGTTAAAGTATTGTGTATCGGTTTCGGGAACATATGTCATCCAATAACCAGGAACAAGCAGACCAACACTGTGGTGACATCACGCTTGTGAGCAGGTGGCAGTGGTAGGCGTGCTTCGCATGAAAAGTAAAAAAAATTGTACAGAAAAGATAAATTTTTTTTTTTGTGCGGTAACGTGACATTATGGTAGCACAACATGACTGGTGTATGAATAATCTTTGCCCAATCCTTATTTTACCACTAGCTTGCAATATCTGACGGTGTCTAGTGACTACATTCAAATGGTTGGACTTGCTGAATTTGCATATGTGACTGGGAAAGAGTTCTATATATGGAAAAAACTAATTTTCCCTTAAAATTAAAAATAGCCATCAAAAAGTTATAACGTCCTAAAAAGTGAAACTGCGCTAACACAATTCCAAAGCATTTACTTTGAAAAAGGGTTTCTTCAGCCAAGCTTCAAAGGTTTGTGCACAGGGCATCAAGCGTTGTCCTTATATGGAAATCTTTCCTATGATCATCCCAACAGTTACAATGGAACACAAAATAGCACTTGTAGAATTGATAGGTTGGATTTACGTGTAACTGCCTCAGTCAAGGAAACTGATGTTTGGAAATCGCTCAAAGAGGAGAAATTTTTAATATGTAAGAATCCGTTGTAAATTGAAGTGCTTTATATAAGGGACATTTGGTCAAAACTTCAGGCCAGGAGAGTGATGCATGTTGAAATGGGAGCAGTTTGAAAACATCGTTTCACATGCGACCACGTTTAGTACTGGAGAACAAAGCCATGTCTCCACAAGGATACAGAGTTTGGAATGTGTGATCTGTGGAAGTGAGTCGTTACTCCTCAGTTCCCAGAGATAATTATTTGGAGTTCTAGGCAGTGTCTCATCTACTTTTAGCCATCAAATCCTCAGGACAGGCAAAACCAATTTTGGATAGCCATTTTTTTCCTGTACAAAATTTAGAAAGACTCCTTTTTGGTTTTGGTTTCAAACAATCTGTAACACAGGTCAACAACTCTTCACATTTCCTTCCCAAATATTGGGTACAGCAGAAATACAGCCTTAGAATAGCACTTAAGGGTGTTGGCTTAAACAATTTCACTGGGAGGGGATGGGCAGTTGTTAACATCGTCTAGGAAAGGACAGGTAGCTATTTCAGTCCTAGACGACAATGGTTAGAGGCCTTTGTATTATAATGTAAACCAATATGATCCCTCAACATCTGTCACTCGCATGCACTGTCGTCACTGATCAGGATACCAAACTGAGTGATGCCTCAAAATAAAGAGTTTCAGTTTGCTCTCTCCAATACTTGTTAAACAAAACTGGCCCTTGTTGTCATTTGACATATTTTCACGGAGCGGGTCCCACGTGGAAAAGGGCGACGTCACTCTGCATGACGCTGCATGCATTTTACCCTGGCCAAGAATGCACATCTTTCTGAACATAAACCTGCATGCAGACTTAAAAAAGCACTTCAAAATGCAGCCATACAAGATAGGTGGAGTGAAGTGGCTAAACAGAACGAGTTAGAAAAATATGTTGACAAGTTTAACATCATGCGGGTCTGTATTTCTAGACTTCAGAGGACGAGTCTTGGTGGTACTCGGAGTTAAGTATTATTCACTGACTATACCACACGGGAGAAAGGATTTGAATTTTATCTGAAATAAAAAGAGCAAACCCCGTCTCATGGTTAATGTAAAAACTGCTGCCTCGGCTTGTGTCTTCTTCAAAGAATCTTGGTTGAGAATTCAAATCGGTGTACTGTAAATAAGGTCAAAATGGTGCCTGCCGGAAGAGTAACGGTAACCTATTGATCCCATTTTTGTTCCGACCACCAATTATTGATCAACCATGGAAAATAACAATTTCTAATTATTCTTGGTCTTCCTTATATTACCAGAGGCAGCACATATTGTCTTTGGTCGGCTGTTAGCACTGTGTACAAATATTTGCACGGCAGGGAGCATTGAAAATTCAAACCAAGGAGAACGATGGTGGCATCAAAACATGTGACATTTTGTTACAGCATCTTGTTGGTGCTTCCATTAATACAGGTAATGACATCCTGTTTCGAACTGGGGGAAAAAAATCAGTCAAATCTGTTGTAGATGCGATTTTGAAGATGTCCATATTGAATAAAATGCCGAGTTAATCAAATGTAAAGAGCATTGCCGCTGCGAAGAAAAAATCAACATAGAAATGTTTGCAGCAGTACTGTCTTAGAAATGAGGTCAAAGCCGAACTTTGTATCAATTTTTCAGATTCGTAAAAAAGGCAATAATAAACAACATACGTAATTCAATAATTCATGAAAATATGTGTTCAAAAGTGAATCAGTACCTTTTCTATATGAGTATTGTACATGTACAGCGTTTAGAAAATACCAACAGGTCCAGGTATGAATCCTATATAACATCCAAAAAAGCAAATCGATACTGGACTGCTTTTGTATCCCGGACGAGGACCATTCCTGTCTGGCCCTGAGGGCGCTCTTCAATAAGTCTCAGCAATCCCAGCATGCAACAGTAGCCCACTGCTTGGCCACTTCCAGAGATGAATGCATTTGCTCCGTCCATGACAAACCCAATCAACTGACGACGGCAAGACTTGAAAAGTTTCACATTGGAGGCCACTTCATCTTTCACGCGGACTTCATCACTGCTCCCATCTCTGGGATTGTCATCCACTGACTGGCCCTTTTTCTTCTTGTTTTTCTTCTTTTTGGGCGTCTTTGGGAGCTTGAACTCTCTGTGGATGGGTTCACGGGGACAGAACCTCTGGTCAGATTTGAATGATGCGAAATCTTCCTCGCTCGGCAGGCAAATCATCGCAAACTGCCGAGGCACTCCACGGTTGGCCATGCTCAGCCTCACACCAACAAGAACTCTGTCTGCATCTTGAATCAGGTCAGCAGCAACCCTGTTTATCTCCATATGATGGCCTGTTTTGGCATCTTTACTCTGTGCACTTGATGCCTGACTGGCAGCGTGTCCATTAGCAGCCTCCGTAGTGTGCATTTTGACACCAGCAATATCTTTAAGAATGCCTGCTATGGGTGCTCCAAAGGAAACACTCGGCTTGGTCCTCGTAGAGGCTATAGACATTTTCAGGGGCCTAAGGTTAGCTCCTAAAGACTCACTGAGTTTTTCCAGTTTGGTTCTATCTCGTAGGACAAAGAAGGTTTGGTTCTCATCTTCTTCAGGGTGCAGGTTCTTTTCCTCAGAGGATGCACCTATGTCACTGGCTGCCTGCTTGATTGCTTCTGTTGCATTAGGCTCGACAGCAATATCTTCCTCCTCTTCTTCTTCTGACTTCTTGATATCCCTCCATTCTTTGAGAAGTTTCTTCCAGGGACACTTAAAAGGTGAGACGACGCCAAGCTTCCCGTAGTTGGGCCGCTTGGCGGGCGGCCAGCTCTTGAACTTCTTGGTCAGCTCCTGCTCTAACTTGTCTGCCCACTCCTCTCCCGCAGCCGTGTCCGGGAAAACATCTGGGAAGAATGGAACCCCTTGCTGCAGGTGGCAGGAGCGCAATTCCCGAAGCCCTGCCACGCGGGCGCCCCTCAGGATCAGGGCAATCCAGAAGGCCATCCCCCAGCCACTCGGCAGGACGATGTCCCAGCCGCCTCCGAAGCCAGCCGAGCTGCCCCCCTTGGACTTGTGGGATGCAGCTGCTGAGCATTCCCTGCCCGGCTGCTGGAGGAGCAGAATCGGAACACGTGACTCTTGGCGGTCAAGACTGAGCTCCTGGCCCGGGACGAGCATCTCAGAGCGCATCCTGTTCAGCTTGTGGGTGGGGATCTGGGTTGATGTGACAGCTGTTCGCACTGACTTTTCCCAGAGGGGAGACACAGGCGCTGCGTTAGGGAACTGGCGTACAACTTCAGTTGGTACTTTGTCTGGGGAAAGTTTAAGTATGTCTGTCTATGTGAAAATTAAACTACCAATAAAACAATCAAAACCAAGAAAGTCCGAGCATAGTCTCAAAGAGGAAATCCGAACCATGCACAGTGGTCACTGGTAATGAAGTGTTAAGTTTTCATGACAAAAAGAATGTTCAAAAATGCAGAAAACAACAGTTAGAAAAAGTAACACAACAGGGAGGAAGCACTGTAAAGACAACCTGTCTGCCTCTCTTTGGCAGAGAGGCAGCGCTGCATAACTGACAGTCAAACTAAGCTTGGTGAAATCCCCGACTTACCAGGTGGAACTAACTCATTGGGGTCTGTCATGATCTTAGTTCTCTTGATGGGAAGGAGATTGCGTGGGTCTCGTACTGTCAGGCCGAGAACGCAGCGTGGGGGAAGATCCATCGCTGTCCTCACTCCGCCAAGGGTCTCCCAGGTGGATGACTGTTCCCGCCAGGCTTGCAGATGATGCAGGTCCTGTAACCATGCAATAAGGTTGCAAGATCATAAACCTTCCTTTCTCGGCAGGACTGTATACTGTCCTTTGAGCTCTTCAGCCTTTAACTGAGGTATGACGTGTACACGTTGTGGAATTGCCTGATATCTCAGAGTGGCATGCTTGCAGCGATCATTTGGTGCGACCTGCAGAAGGCGTGTCTCGTAGCCCTCTCTGGGATTTGAACCCAGACCGGATCAAACACTGCACACATGTTACTGACTGTGCTAAAATTTTTAGCTATAGGTTACAGTGGTACAGCGCGCACAGAAAAGGACTAAAAAGGGCTCTCGCTTCGGCTGGGTTGGATTCTGGTATGTCTGGCAGGCTGCCAAAACATAAACCTGATGGGTGTTCAGGATTTGTACATAAACGTATTTCTTAGAACAACCTTCTATATTTCAACATTCCGGGGCGTGCCCACGAAGCAGTACTTGCTACCACAAAAAGCCATGCACAGTTAGGGCCAAGTTAAAGTGGTACACCTCTACAGATTTATTGTATTAATGATTAATGGATTAATGTATTCAGACGTCAGATGGAGGTGCTTCGAGGCACCCTTGACGTTTTAAATCCATTGACTGTGCCCGTGTATACAGAAAGCCAGATTGTGTACATGCACCCTCAGGTGCAACATGCTGAAAGCAATACTCACTGCGTAGTAATCTTCCCACCACAGTCTGGGTTGCTCCGGGCCGGAGGCCTTGCCCACGTCAGACATCTTTAGGGCGTGAAGAAGCACTGGGTGCGACAGTGGGCCCTGCAAGCGGAACCTCAGGGGACTGTCCTTGAGCTGTGTCACTGTGACTCTGCTGTTTGAGTCTAAGACAGAACAGAAAGCAGCGGGTCAAGCATGACTGAGCCATTTTGGAGAGATGAACTGAGCCCTATCAGTCCTAAATCCTGTTGGAAGACTGAGGACTGTTACGGTTTGTGGTACCCTTAAAATAAATCTTTTTCAATCAAACAGTATCTAGTGGCTGGTAATTTCAGGAGGATTTTTAACCCAACACTCTCAGTTACTTCATTATCCACTAAGCAGTTGGAAGGATTTTGCAGGATTGAATAAGGAAGAGCCAATTTGATCTTGCTTTTCATGCAGCCTGACTGATGCTCCTTGAAAGTCAGTTAGCCTGTGAGAAACATGTATCAACGTCTTGTAATGTATCAACGTGATCAACTTGCTTTTAGTACAGACTGACTGATGTTCCTTGAAAGTTGATTAGCCTGTGAGAAACATGTATCAACGTCTTGTAATGTATCAATGTGATTACCAGTATTTGCATTTTCAGCCTCGCTCGCTGCTTTGAGTTCCTTGAGTAACTCTGAGGCACACGATGGGTGAGCCCACAGCCACAGCTTCCTGACTCCTTTCTCCTCAAACTTTCCCCCAGGGCTTGCCGCTGGCATTCCAGCTTCGCACCCCTCTTGGCTTTCTCCTTTTGCCTTGGGGACACTGTCTGCCAAAGTCGCTTCGGCTTTCCAGAGGAACTGGACGGGTCCTATCGCACCCTGGGGGAACTGATCCTTTCGGTAAAAGACTGCTTCACCGTGACGCTGACCACTGAGAAAAGCAGCTGCAGCACAGGTCAAACCTGAGTAACAGATATTATCCCCAAAATATTACTGACGTAACATACTTTGCCCCAGAACAAAAAAGATACAATTATCCTACGCAAACCTGAACTTCTGACATAGAGATAACTACTGGTTCAGTGCAACAGAGATGGATCTTAAACACTGTCATCTCCAAAATTTCCCCCCAAAGTTCACACTTCTTAGAACAAGTTTATCTCGGACATCTGACGGACTCACCAGTGGATGGACTGGTGAGGCGGGAGAGTGCCCTCAGTGTCAATCCCTGGGGACCAGACATCTCGACAACTCGCAGGTAAGAAACGTCTTGGAGGAGGCAGTGTCTAGCCATGGCCCTAATGGGTAGGGGGCAATGAAAACATGGGTCAGGTTCACATAGCGACGAGGCACAGGGTTGCCCTGCAGAGAAATTACTGTGTATACATGCAAAAACAGGTTACTGGTGTATCTTTTTACTTCAGATGGATTCTCTGCCCATTTCAACTCCGGAACCGCATTTAACACC